AAGCACTATATAGGTTTTTAGCGTACAGCATTCATAATTCAACATCTGTATATACTTTTATGTTACAATCCTAATGAAAATCTAGTTTCCATCTATCACTGAATCACTGATCCTCTTTACTCAATTACCCACCCAATATTCATTGACATTGCATATATGAGAATTCAGAATACCAACTCATTTTCAATATTCCTTTTATTTCCCTGATACTATTACAAATGGGGCCTCTAGCTTTCCTGTAGAAAAGGTGTCTGGGTTGGTTGCAGTGATGTTTTGGTCAAAATTCTGGTACCTTGAGCTGAGTATCAGCCACAGGGTCTTCTTGAAATTCTCTCCCAGAGTAAGTGGCCCCAGGCCAACAGTTCTCAAAGCATAGTAGAATTTGGGCCTCTATAGAGTCACCTGAGATATTCATTTATCGCGCAGATTCAGAATCTCTGAGTGCTGGATCTCAAAGTGTGCTTTTTAAATGAGCTCTCCAGGTGAGTCTGCCTGGTATGAGAGAACCCCACTTTTCCTTCTAGGTATGGAGCCCAGACCCAGAAAGTCCAGGACTCCACCCTGCCCCAGATTTTTCTAAGATGTCCACATATCTCAAATGAGTGAACAAACCTTCACTCATGAACTTAGAGGGAAACTGACTACTTTTCCATAGAATTTGTTTATGTTTTGACTAAAGAAGAATGTCCTTTTACAGCATGATGGTATGCTGACATTGATTTTATGTCACAATTTTGGCCATTGCAAGAAATACATTTATATTCTGCAAATAGGGTTGAATCTTTGTTGGTTTTTTTTAAAGATGTTATTTAGATGTTGGCAAAATAGGATTTTGGGAGATAATATCTAGACTTTCAAAAATAAGTACCCAGCAATACAGCCCAAAATTAAAGGGAGTAAGAACCTCAGAAAGGCCATCATAACCAGTGCTTTGCAGCTCCCTTCAGCAGGGAGCAACCAAAGTAAAATTCACATCTTGATGAATGGTCTTGCCACATGTGGTTATCAGGCTACCTCTCATTAAAACCAATAATACCTGCCCACCCATATCTTATACTTGCCCCTAGCTATTGAGGGTGAACAGGATGGCCTTGGATAAAATTATAACAGTTGTTTTGAGAACCCCAGCACCTTTTTTTAGGCTCCTTCTCTTACTCCCTGAGGGATGCCATTACACCATAAAAGTGAGATTGAACTGGTCTGAACACAGAAGCAAACATGCTTAAAGTCCTTGATGCCCCTTTGGAATCACAGGGTGTGGACGAGAGGGCCAGAAACTTCCAGGAAAAGGGATGATGAAGCAGGAAAGTGTGGCGCCTCAGAGACCAAGTAGGTCTGCTGGTGGAATTGGGGTGTTCCTGTGTTTTTACCACCTTCTCTACTTTTCTCTTTGCCTCCCCCCAAGAGGGAGATTGTCAGTGGGGTTCATGTCAGGTCAGAGTTTTTAAATCCAGCCATTCAAGGACAGCTGGCTATATCTTCAGAACTAGGGAGACTCACTGGGGTCTTGGGCATCTCTACTCAGTCTGTTACACGGGGAGAGTTGGTTTATTTGGGTGAAGGGGAGATAATAGTCAACATTTCCAGCTATTCACCTTTCACCCTTTTTCTTTTTTTAAAGATTTATTTATTTTTATACAAGAGCTGGGTACAGGTCAGAGGCACGGGAGGGTGAGAGGATTCACCAGAGGCAGAGCAGGGAGCAGAACAGGCAGACGACAGAAATACACTGCTGAGGGGAGCAGTGGGCCAGAAAGAGAGGTCTGTGGCGCCATGTGGTATTCTTGCTGGCCAGGATCAGACCCAAACTGCAGAGGTTGCGGACAGCTTCACAGCGCGGCGCTCAACCCGGCGCTCAACCCGCTGCGCCACCGGGGAGGCCCCTTTCACCCATTTTCTTGAACTCATTCTACCTCTTCCAAGAAGCAGATGCCCTTCATCAGAACTTGATGGGGGAAAGCAAGTGAGAAAGTAACAGTCTGGCTGTCAGCTCACTCCTGCCCTTCCCTGTCCTGGGTCTTTCAACGAGAGGGTCTTCTCTGCGGTCTCCTCAGCAACCCAGGAGCCTGAAGAAAACCTGGTTTAAGCCCCAATGTCAGGGGAAGGAAAACAAACTATCCTGGGGGAGGGCATGATAGCTGTAGGGCACGTGGGATTGGAATATCAAATCTCTGGTAACAATAATATCACATTATTATTAACTGATATAATATATAATAATACAATACTATTGTTATTAATATCCAAGCACTAATATAATATATAATAAAACATGATTATATGGTAATATAATTATATTGGAAGAGATTTGTGATGAAAGGTAATTTATCAATAATTATATAATAGATATGATTTTTATTTCTATAATATATAAATGGCCTGTTTATAAATATATTAAATACACATATTTAATATATTATTATTATATTATTAGTAGTAAATTACCTTTACTTAAAAATGTCTTCCATTCCTTATTTCTCTTATCCCTCCTTCTGGTATTGGGTTCTCACCCTGAATGTCTCTCAATGTAAATTAAGAACAATCATCTTCCTTTTAGCCATTAAGAGAGTTTGCTTTTGAGTCAAGAGCTCCTGGAAAGTGTGCACAGGGGCACATAGCTTGTCTTTGGCCTAGTTCAGCTTACCTTGCTTGTTTCTTTGTCTACTTTCTCCCCATATGCTGAGGACCCAGGGTCTATTCTCACTACATCCTTATTATTGCTCACTGTTCCTCTGTTTCCTTTCTGTCTTCATGTCTTAGAATCTAGGACACAGTCCTTCTAGCAGAGACATAGGATGATTATGATGGTCTTTGGGAGAACAGGACAGAGGGAAGACTGGAGACGTGATGGAATGGGAAGAAACATGGTGGGCATCACAAGAGAAACCACAGTATTGTATTATTATATATTATATCAGTTAATAATAATGTGATATTATTGTTACCAGAGATTTGATATTCCAATCCCACATGCCCTACAGCTATCATGCCCTCCCCCAGGATAGTTTATGTTTTCCTTCCCCTGACATTGGGGCTTAAACCAAGTTTTCTTCAGGCTCCTGGGTTGCTGAGGAGACCGCAGAGAAGACCCTCTCATTGAAAGACCCAGGACAGGGAAGGGCAGGAGTGAGCTGACAGCCAGACTGTTACTTTCTCACTTGCTTTCCCCCATCAAGTTCTGATGAAGATGGACTTCTTGGGCTTCAACTACTTAGCTCTGCACTTTGTGATGAGGCAAAGGAAATCTTTGGTTCTTAAATTTCCTCATTTGTCAAGTGGTGATAATGAAAGTACTTGTTTCATTGACTGTTGTTGGGAATAAAATAATCAGATACCTTAACATGCCAAATACTCAGAACGGGGCCTGGCATATCGTAAGTTCTCAATAAATGTTAGAAATGATAACTGGGGGTCCAGGGCATGTGTTTGTAAATGAACTAGGGTCTGTATCACTATTAAGGCTATCTTTAGATGTCTGAGAACTAAAAAGAAAAAGACAAACTATAAGCTTATTTTAGTTATGAAAAATTCCTAATACAATGTAGTTATCTAGAGCTGTTTGTGACTGATTGTTATATACAAAATAATCGTTCGGTACTTCATTAATATGTCAGATTAATTTTCACTTAAGATTTGACTCCAACTCACATTTGATCATGTCCTTTTTAATGGCAGATCATGTGTTTATAATTTATTAAAAATTAAAATACATACAGGTTATGTATTAACTCAGCTTCACATTTTTCTCTGACATCTAAACAAACACTATGTGACCAATTACTCTTCTACATTTATTGAGTAACAACAACCACATTTAGATAAGTGGGGTGAAGAATTGAAATAATGTCCATATCTGGATAATGTATGGAAGGTGGATTGCATAAATCTTCTGGTAAAAGATGGGGTTTTTGATAGGAGTTGAATTAAAGTAGCTAATTACATTGTTTTAAAAATATCACTTGTGGTCATTGGAATTTTTCTTGTCTTTTCCCTTTTGGCTTAAGTCCTGACTATTTTTGTGTACAAAAATAGAACCAGGCCTAATAATGTAATGAGTAAATAATGTAACCCACCCCTCTACCCCTTCCTCACTGCTGAGAGTACATTTTTAGATCTCCTGGTTTAAATATTTATAATTACAATTTGTAATAATAACTTCACTTGATCTCTGACTGTCTATAATTTGAATTAGGGAAGGATTTTTAAAACCTATACTTTGACTACAAAAATCATGGAGGACCACGACAAATACTAGAAAATTATTAAAATAATCTTGAAGGATATAAAAATTACCCCCAAATTCTTCTATCTAGAAATAGTGACTCTAAACATTTGATATAGTTTTTATCCTTTGCATGTTCATACTTTAAAACTCTTAAAAATTTTTGGGTCAACTAAACATGGGTATATATATTTTTCTTTATTTTTTTAGTGATTAAATCACAAATGTTTCTTAGACATGAACATCTCAGTCTCTTCCACTTTCCTGATTCTTAAGTGTGAGATTATTTCTACAGCTATGCTTAGAATCTGAGAGCTAATGTATACTTGTGACTCATTCCTCTGTGAGACAAGGTACTATAAAAAGGGTTGAGGTGATGAGAGAGAAAAAAGTAAGTGGAGAGCCATTATTGACAGTTATGAATGAGAAAATTGAGGGTATAGTCCACAAGTGACAAAATTATTTTTAGTTTGCTTGTATTTATGAAATTCCGATTACTATCACAATTACAGGAGTTACCGTTAAAAAGCAATGTTTACTTTTCAAAGAAATAGATTTTATGTTATTATTAGAATTAAAAACAATGTATTTCCACCATAAGAATAGAATTTATGTAAAATAAAAACACAGGAGTAAAGAATTAGCTTTAAGGAGATAAGTTTTCTGACATCATTGTGATCTTTATCACTATGGATATTCCCGGGAAACTTTTTGGATGCTGCTGGGGAATTCCTCTTTGCTGGATTTGGACATATCCTCCTATTACTCACAGGAAGCGTTCCCCCTATAAAGGCACTTCGGCAGGAGTAATGCTCTGCTGTTCTTGACTGACTACACATCAGATCTGTAACAGTGAATGATACAGAAGTAGCAGTGACACCGGAGGGAGAAATTCGAAGGAGAAACTTGAAACATCCTTTTTGCAAAACGGTAAGCACAGAAGTCTTTACGAGACTTGGATCATGAAAGAGTCTTTTGCTAGCTCTATTGTATTCAGATTAGTTAAAAACTGGCTTTTTTTCCCTTTACCTTAATGATGAACATTTTTAATTTTGTATTTGTTCCTTTGAGCAAATTTGAAATGTTTGCTTGTAAATAAAGATTGAGACATTGTAATCTTTTACCTAAAATTATATGCGGCTGCTAAAAACATCCCTGTAGAATGTTGTGAATAACTAGACACCTAGAATTGAACTCTAACTAATTTTGTACTTTCTCTCCCCCAAGAAACGCATTTCCAGTTTAGTGTATTGATGAGAAGAGCTATTGGAGTCATGATGGCTTCACAGATTCTCTCTGCATTCACTTTGGGTAAGTCAACATCATTGGTTGATATATCAGGTGGGTTATTCCTCCTCGTGGGGGCCAGTGTGTTGTAGGGTGTTTAGCAGCAACTTGGCCTTAGCCCCAAAGTGTTATGCCCTGGGGTGGTGTGATTTTCTTTCCATCTTTGTGTCTTGGTTTCCTTATGTGTGACGTATTGAGTATATATAACTTATTTCTCAGAAGCATCATGAGGCTTCAGTATCATGGTTCACATGAAGTGCTTCAGACAGGACGAGGCAGCATATTTAAGTGCTCAACAAAGTTTAGGTATACTGATTATTACTTTACTCTCAAATGAGTGCACTGATAGGTTTTGGTGGGTAAGTGCAGGTAAAACACCATATGGAGGGTCAGTCACAGAAAAGAGACACAATAAATAGTAGTTTCTCCATCTAAATCCCTTCTTACTTTGAAAAAGGTGAAAAAAGCTTGAGTCATCCCAAAGACCATTGTATGCCCCAAACAAGACAGTAAATAGTGCAACTAACAGAAATAAACCAGAGTGGGACTAAAATTTCCCATTTTTTTCTCTCCCTATCACCAGTGCTTCTCCTGTTTAAAGAGAGTGGAGCCTGGACTTACAGTGCTTCCACGGAAAACATGACTTTTGATGAGGCTAGCGCTTATTGTCAACAAAGGTACACACACCTGGTCGCTATTCAAAACCAGGAAGAGATTGAGTACCTGAATGCCACATTCAGTCATTCGCCAAGTTACTACTGGATCGGAATCAGAAAGATCAACAACAAGTGGACCTGGATAGGGACCCACATGCCTCTGACTGAAGAAGCCAAGAACTGGGCTCCAGGTGAACCAAACAACATGCAAAAGGGTGAGGATTGTGTGGAAATCTACATTAAGAGGGAAAAAGACTCCGGCAAGTGGAATGACGAGAGATGCAACAAAAAGAAGCTTGCTTTGTGCTACACAGGTAGGCAATTTGTGGCAGCAGTATGTGGGCATCTTGACCAATCATTGACATTATGCAAAAATTGGTCTCTATTGTGGTAATTGTGTGTTCTAAAAGAAAGAATTTCAAAATGTGCTATTTGACAGTCTGTTTCTTTGAGTGAATAAAGGCAAGGAGGTATGTGTATACATGTATGCATATATGTATGGGTCTATCTACACTTCTATTGAGTGTGTAGACACACATATAGCACATGCTTTAGTTACTTGTTTATGGTAGGGAACCTGTCTTTAGAGTTCGTTTTATAGTGAATTTTCTGTGCTTGGTGCCAGTTACAGCTGTACCACTGACATTCATCCATTAACATTAAGATTTAGAATGGTTGAACCTAAAACTCAGCTTTGGCATTTTATAAGGCACTTCAGTTCCAATCTCTAGCACTCAGTATCACTGGTGCCATCAGGTACATACTGTTGATGCTAAATTCCAAGTTACTCATTATAAACATCACAACAACCATGGTTGTTTCCTGCAGCTGCCTGCACCAACATATCCTGCAGTGGCCATGGGGAATGTATAGAAACCATCAACAACTACACCTGCCAGTGTCACCCCGGTTTCAGTGGACTTAACTGTGAACAAGGTATGTCTTATCTTTTCCTTGAGACGATAGCACCAGCTCACTCCTAGCTGGCTTTGGGGTCAGGTTTGTAGGCCTTCCTTTCCTCTTGGCATATGGTATCCAATGGTGGTTAATAACTGAGGCTAGGAAGTCAGACCCTCTTAGGTTATAAAACCAAATCCACTATTTCTTAATTATGGCACCTTGATAATAAGGAAGTTAAACTCTCTGAGTCCCAGCTTTCCCCTTGTATAATGAGGATAATAATGCCAACTTCATAGACTTGCTGTTAGGAACATGTGAACAAATGCAAATAGAGTTGACTCTTGAATGAACAACATGGGACCGCTGGCTGATTTTACTTATATGTAGATATTCTTGTAAACAGATGCTATAAATTTACAGTATCAATAAATACAGAACTGTAAATGAACTTTCTCTCCTTGTAATTTTCTTAACATTTTCTTTTCTCTAGCTTGATTTATCGTAGAAGTACAGTATATAATACATAACACATTCAAAATATGTGTTAATAGATTTTATGTTATCTGTGAGTCTCTGGTCACAGAAGGCTATTAGTAGTTTAATTTTGGGAGGGGAGTGTTACAAGATATAAGTGGGGCTTTTGACCACATGGAAGGTTGTCAGCCCCCCTAACCCTCACAACTGTATAGATTTATATAGTGCTTGGCACCCAGGAAGCACTCAACAAACAGTTACAATTTTCAGTGTTTTTCTCACCTTACACAAGATTGGGGGGAACAGAATTGATTTGGTTTTTATTTTCAGTTGTGACCTGCCAAGCACAGGAATTTCCTGAGCATGGAAGCCTGGATTGCACTCACCCTTTTGGGAAGTTCAGCTACAATTCTTCCTGCACTGTCAGCTGTGAGAAAGGGTACATCCCCAGCAGCACAGAGGTTCTGAGGTGCACTTCCTCAGGGGAATGGAGTGCCCCTCCTCCAATCTGCAATGGTAAATTTCTCTCAAAATACCAGAGCATTCTCCCAGTCTTCACTACCTTTCCCTTTTATCCAACTTATACCATTTTCAAAATTCCTGGGGAAAGTTATTTTTGCTGTTGTTTTTAAAAACATATTCTCTCAACCAATATGTAAGGCCAATAATGGTACCTGCTGGGGCCTGAGAGGGCTTTTTATTTTGTGTTTGGAATGGGTGTTTCTGAGGCGCAGGTGAATTGTAAGGGGACACACACAACAGCGGAACCACATCCAGAAGTTTTAATGACTTTCTCATCTTCTTTCCTTATTTATCTTATGCCATGCAGTGGGCAAATTTAACACCATAGTAATCAAGCAGTCTCGATATCTACTCCCCCCCTCCCATCTTATCTTTCTGGCCCAGAGATTAAAAAAAAAAATCTTTCCTGCAGGTCCTGCTGGGCTAAAAGAAATGAATATCCTGTATATGTCAGATTATTTTTAACATTAGTCATAAACCCTGATCTAGATCTTGGACTTCTTTATTTTTGCTTATGAAAATGATAAAATAGATCAGAGACTCCTCAGCATAGTTAAAGTAAAATATTAACCAGAGAAGATGAAAATATCAATACAAAAGCTTTATGGGATTTGTGCATGTCCCCAAGAATTAATATAGGATTTGGATATCTACCCTTTGAAGGCAGCTCCCTTGCTCTGTTATAAACTCCAGTTGAACAGGACACGAACATATCATTCTGTAAAATTCATGTTGTTTTTTCAACTACCCAGTGGTTCAATGTGATACTTTAACAAAACCTGCCAGTGGCTCCATGGACTGTTTTCAAAACTCTGGACGCTTCCCATGGAACACAACCTGTGCATTTGAATGTGAGGAAGGATTTAAACTAGTAGGAGCCCAGCACCTCCAGTGTACCTCATCTGGAAATTGGGACAATGAGCAACCGATGTGTAAAGGTAGATGTTCTACTTCAAATCTTATTGTCAACATTCTTTTTCTCAACCTATACTTGAAATTGGCAATCCAAGCCTGCTAATGTAAATGGGTGTATGCATTACAGCTGTGACATGTGGCACTGTCCACCGGCCTCAGAATGGCTCCATGAGTTGTAACCATTCACCTGCTGGGGAGTACACCTTCAAGTCATCCTGTGAGTTCACCTGTGAGGAAGGCTTCATGCTGCAGGGGTCAGCCCAGGTGGAATGCACTGCACAAGGCCAATGGACACAGCAAGCTCCAGTTTGTGAAGGTAAGAATGAGATTCTCTCCTGTCCACTCTCCCTTTCTTAAAGAGCAGAAGTCTTCAAATTTGAACAATTAAATGAAACCATATGCCCACTTTGATATAGAAATATCAAAATTAATCAGATTCGATAAGCAACATTTCTCTTACGTCTGTGAGATTTGTATAAAAGAACCAAGGGAAAGTTGGTTTGTAATAAGCGTGGATGCTTTACTGGTTCCTTACTGTGCTATAAATAATGTAATTTTACAGACATTGGAATGAAGTGGGCAGAAATCTTTATTGAAGGGGAAATCACAGAAAATTTATGATCATGAGAACATGATTCTAAAACTCTTGAATGCCTTTCTCCCAAAATTTTTCATAACTAACAGTGATGAGAAAGTTTCATGTGTGGTATCAGATATGAAAACTTCCTTATGATATATATGAGTATTAAAATTTAACTCACCTGAAAATAAGGCAAGGATATAGAAAACAAGCAGTTTTCACTATTGGATACTGGCATTTACAGTACAATAGAATAAAAAAACCACAAAACCAAAACTAAATTGCAAAACAGACAAATATTAGTGGCTGCCTTCATGCCTTCCTCTCTTTTTGGCATCATCTGTAAGCATACAGGACCTATAAGTTGATCTCTACCTATATGAAACTTTCTCTTGACCCTAAATTCTTTCACATGTCAGCACAACTTTGAGAAACCCCTGATCCTGTTAAAGGCTTGAATTAATACCACTGTCAGTGAAAGGATTAGAATCCAGAGAGAACTCAGCCCTGTTCCCAGTTGCTAGGGGTAAAGACAAGCCTCATTTTGTCCAGAGTGAACTGAGCTCACTCATCAAATACCAAGTCTTATCCACTTCCACTGCAGATATTTTCTGACCATGCTTTTGCTGTCTTAGCTTTTCAGTGTGAAGAGTTGTCCAGGCCAGAGAGAGGTTACATGAGTTGTCTTCCTAGTGCTTCTGGAAATTTCCAAAGTGGGGCCAGCTGTGAGTTCTCCTGTGAGCAGGGATTTGTGCTGAAAGGATCAACCAGACTCCAATGTGGCCCCACAGGGGAGTGGGACAGCAAGAAGCCCACATGTGAAGGTACAGTTCTTATTTTTATTTCAAGATAAAAACTATTGAAGAACTAGGGACTTTGTTTCCTTGAGAAACCTGTTGCTGCCTGATACAAACAAACTTCTAAACGTCCTCTCTCATCTTTCAGCTGTGAAATGTGATGTCGTCCACCATCCCCAGAGAGGTTCCATGAAGTGCTCCCATCCCCCTACTGGAGACTTCACCTACCAGTCCTCCTGTGCCTTCAGCTGTGAGGAAGGCTTTGAATTACATGGATCAGCTCAACTTGAGTGCACATCTCGGGGACAGTGGACACAGAAAGTCCCCTCCTGCCAAGGTAGGACTGAGTTCAGATACTAAGCAGTATATGTAAAGTACTAATAAGGTTTCTGAACTTCTATTGTCCCAAGAGACTTGATCCTAATTTCCTGCATGCTGAACACGACATAATGCTTCCAAATTATGTTCCTTGGAGACTTCCCAGCCAGCTTTAGAAGTTTTCCAGTATATTTTTCCTAATCTCTATTCACATGCCTATTAATTTGCAGTGGTACAATGTTCGAGCCTGGTGGTTCTTGAGAAGATCAACATGAGCTGCAGCGGGGAGCCTGTGTTTGGTACCGTGTGCGCATTCGCATGTCCTGAAGGGTGGACACTCAATGGCTCTGCAGCTCTGACATGTGATGCCACAGGACACTGGTCGGGGATGCTGCCCACCTGTGAAGGTGAAGCACTGATTGATAGTGGTTTTCTGGGGGACAAGAGAAATGAAGGGGGGTTATCTGGCTAAAATATTGAATTATCCATTATGTCCAAATCAGAAAGGTCAGATAGATTGTCCCAGTTAATAAACTGTCAAATACTTAATTTTATGGGAATAAGGGAAAGCAGAAAAGGTGATACAGTGATAGAATGGGTAGAATCTTGACAGTGGGAAAAGAGACTTTAAATTCAATTCCTTTCTGTGACAATTCTTTCCCTCTGTTTCCTTAGCTCCCATTGAGTCCAATGTTCCCTTGGCAGTTGGGCTTTCTGCAGCTGGAACCTCCCTTCTGACATTATCATCATTTCTCCTCTGGCTTCTGAAACGCCTTCAGAAGAAAGGTGAGGGATTTATGGATGCACCTCAAAAATAATTTTTATCATTGTGTTCTTTCTTGGAGATTCAACAGCATTTAGTTACTAGATAAACACTACTAAATTGCAGTATAATTAAGCAGGAGTCTTAGGAAGAGAGTTTATGTGCAACTCAAAGTGGAAAGTGTTAGGAAAGGTCAATGTTAATTGTGCTGACATTATACAACTCCAGGGGGTGCTATTCACATATTGAATTCTTCTGTGCCTCTTGGAATTGTGCCATAAGATTATAATGGTGTGGGCTCCCAGGAAAATGGATAAAATGTTTCTACAAGTCTTATTTGGAATACAGTTTAAACTTGGGAGTATCTGATAGAGAATATGCAAGCACCTGGGGCCACATTCATGGTTTAACTAACAGAATATCTAAATTCTTTTTTAAATTAAATTCTGACCTTTACAAATAGGAAAATTCATATAAAATCTAGATTTGGATTGGAAGATGAATCTGACATTAGGTAGCTGCTGCCATTCGGATGGGGGTGCACTGGTGCATGCTCTTATTTGTGCTCTGATTAGCACAGGGTCCCTGAAGGTCTTGAGTTTGCAACTCCAGATGAATAGAATCTTTTTGTATCTGGATTTGACATGTCTGTAAAGGTCATTCAGTCTAAATTAACCCCTTTCTTTCTCTTGCAGCAAAGAAATTTGTTCCTGCCAGGTAAGTTGCATTCTTGTACAAAGCATGCCAATGAGTATTCTACATATTTTTCTGTTTTCATGTGGGAAAACAGTGCTTTATTTAGTTTTATTCATGTTTTCCACAGCAGCTGCCAAAGTCTTGAATCAGATGGATCCTACCAAATGGCTTCTGAGTTAATTTAAATCAGGTAAAAACACATGATTTTCAGTGAAGATATTCTCTTACATGTTCTCATGTTCTCTTGCTCCTGGAACCCTCCAAATCTGCTAGTATCTTTTTAGGGGGAAGGGAAGAAGAGTACCACATTCACAGAATTTTATGGAAAGTTGTTTCATTTCTTTATAGGAGGAGAGGAAAGGAACAGGGATCTGACCGTTAGTGAGTCTTACAATTTATGAAAGCTATAATGATAATGGGGATAGCTAATGCTTACAAAGCACTTACCACATTTTAGGAATTATTCTCACAGGAATTTTATGAGTTAGGGGTTATTACTACATTTTTTTATTATACAGATGAAGCAAATAAAGCATTGAGGAGTTAAGTGACTTTCCTAAAAATCTCAACCCTAACAAGTGGTGTAACCAGGTTTCAAATCCAGGCAGCCTGGCTCTAGAATCTGTGTTCTTAACCACTTTACTCTACTTTGTGAGAATTTGGAAAGGTAAAGAGTAGATTTTTAAAAGTTAATGGACTTTTTTTTGGCATAGTTTTAGGTTTATAGAAAAGGTGAGCAGAAAGTCCAGTGTTCCAACATAGCCTTTTACCCCCATACTCCAAGATCCTCTATTATCAACATCTCCTGTTAGTATGGTATTCTGTTACAATTGTTGGGCCAATATGGATACCTGATTATTAACTAAAGTCCACAGTTTCCACTAGGGTTCACTCTTGGTACTGGAAATTCTGTGGGTTTTGACAAATGTATAAAGACATGTTTCTACCATGATAGGATCAAACAAAATAGTTTCATTGACTTAATTGATAGGGTCTTGCAGTTTATGTTTGAACTACCCCTATGAGGGTACAAGAGTGTTCTGTGCTAGAAGGTGAATTTTGTTGTCTCTATTAGTATGTTAAATACCCTGACAGTGTACATTTTATATTTGCAGCAACACAGGCATAACCAGGGAACTAGTAGAGCAAAACTTGAAGATGGCAGAGACTGAGAGCTCAATGGAATCCCCAGGCCTTCTCACCTGCTGTACCTGCCCCTTTACTGTTGGGACTGCAGCACCCACAGGGACTTCAGTGGACCCTAAATCAGGGTGCAAGGCAGCCTGCCCCCATCTCCCCCCCCCACCAAAAGATGCAGTTTTCTCTTCCTATTCTCAGGATCTGGAAAGTGCTGGCTAGTGAGGGAAAGGATAGTTTCGTCCAGGCAAAAGTGAAGAAACCAAGACTAAGGAGTCTCGGAATTTCTTTTCTAATTCTTGCCTCACTGTGAAATCTTGATGGAAAAACATAACATTTTATGGCACTGTTTGTTTTTTTCCCTCATGGTGTTTCAGCTGTTGATTATGTAATTACTGTGACAAGGAAGAATAATAATTGTAAAGAATTTAGAGGAAACAAATTGGCCAAAAATAATCAATTACCAACTTGAAAAAAATAATAAAATTTTAATGCCCATTAAGTAACTGCAATAGGCAAGGTTGTTGATGGTGCAAATCCTTCTTAATATTCAGTGCAAGGATTCCTAAGCATATTTTTAAATCACTTTTATCCCTATGGAATTCAGTACTTTCAAAAGTCTTCTTAGAGATTGCATTCATTTTACTTGCATTGAATGTAATATAATCCTCCATAATTTCTAATAAGTGTTGTAGAGACTTTTGAAATATTTAAATATTAGATGTTTTGGTCACCACCTCTTTGTTTATTAACAAATTCTAATATAAATCTGTAGTAAATTTATTTCAAAGAAAGGCAAAAATCAACCTCTAACAATGTGTAATGTTAACCACTGTAAATTTATGAATGTTTAACTATTGTTGCTTTTTAAAATATGAATAGTATCAGAAGAACAAAAGCTGAATGACACTCACTTGTACACTAAATAAATAGTAAAAATATTATTCTGGTATTTTTCCAGAAATACGTAGTTTCCATGTTAAAAAAACTCAGATATATTTAAAATTTAGCAGAAGAATTCAAAAAAGATAAACACATGCAATTTGCAGCAACATGGATGGCGCTGGAAGGGATCATGCTCAGCGAAATAAGCCAAAAAGAAAAAGAAAAATACCGGATGGTCTCACTCATAGCAGGAATCTAGAAAACTTAAATAAGGGACCAGGAAAATGAATAACTATAAGAAAGTGAAAATCAAAATCAACAAAAAACTATGAACCAGAGACACTTTTTGGGGGGTGGGGGTGGGAGGGGAGGGATTGGGGTCAGAATGGGGGGGCTGCAATTGTATGGGGAATATAAAAATAAAATTTATTATTTAAAAAAAAAAAAAAAAAAAACTTTTTTAAGGCCAAATGTTCAGATTTGATAAAAGCTTAAATGCAAGTGAATGAAGGTACAATTTTATGAATGTCTTTTTTGAAAAAAAATATGTATAATGTAAATGTGCTTTGCATTTCTACAAAGCTTTGTGTCAGATGTGTCACTGTATACTTCTTGTATATTACAAAAAAAAAAAATTAAATCCTTAATAGGAACTCACTACATATAGGATTGATCCAGGGGATTTTTTTCAAAAATGAGATTTCCAATAATTATTTCCTAGTTGTTTTATTCTCTATGGTAGTGCTCTTAAAGAAAGGAAAGCATGTATGGGAACCTATTTATTTTTATTTATAAGGAAGTTTAATATTCCTAAGGTATCTCCAGTTATCGGAGAAATTGGCAATGAGAAATTCTTTGACAGTAATAGTTAAAGCTGCTCCAAACTCATAGTGTATGAGAATCAAATTCTCTCACACTTCCCATAACTTAGCACATTTTGAAAGGAAAGCTTTGCAGAGGTTCGGCTGCATATTGGTGAAGGCAAAGCTAAAAGTAAACAGGAAGGTATAATAAGGATCAAAACAGCAGAGGTACTTAAGGAGCAAAAGAAATAAGGGAGAGAAAACTAATGATTGAGATCATGCAATTTCTGGAATGGATAATTATTTTCTCTGAATTATGTAAAAGTTGTAAATGTTTATATATACTGTAATGGAAAAAGCTGTGTGGAATATACATATGTTTGGGTTTTATAAAGTATTTTAAATTATGATTTAAAATATTGTACAGTTTTTAAGTGTATATTTATTTAAACTATGTCATACCTATTGTATTTGATGTGGCACTATAAAATTTGATAATAAACATGTTTATATTTAATTCTGTGTATAGGTTCTTTCTTAAAATTTTTATTTCACTTAAACTCACATGCCATGAAATTCACCCTTTTAGAAACAATACTTTTTTTTTTTTAATAGAGGCATGCTTTATTTATTTGTTTGTTTGTTTGTTTTGTTTATACAAGCACTGGGTACAGTCAGAAGCGCGGGAGGGTGAGAGAATTCACCAGATCCAGATCGGGGAGCAGAGCAGGCAGAAGGACCGAAGTACACTGCTGAGGGGAGCAGCGGGCGGCAGGAGAGGTCTGCGCGCCATGTGGGACCCTCCTCTGGTGGCCGGGGAGCAGCCGGGGATCGAACCGGTGCTGCAGAGGCTGCGGGCAGCTTTGCAACCCAGCGCTCAACCGCTGCGCCACCGGGGAAGCCCTAGAAACAATACTTTTTGATATATTCACAAGATCATGCAACCATGACCTCTAACTTCAGAGCATTTTATTGCCCCCAAAAGAAATCCAGTATCTATTAATAGCCACACTCCATTCTTCCCTTCCTCAGCCCCTGATAACCACGATCTACTTTTTGCCTCTATGGATTTACCTATCCTGGACATTTCATATAAATAGAATCATAGAATAGGTGGCCTTCTATTCCACTTTCTTTCAATTAATGTAATGTTTTCATAGTCCATCCATATTGTGGCATGTATTGGTACTCCATTTCTTTTTAGGGATGTATAACACTCTATTGTGTGTCTAGGTCTTTTTCTTTTAACCACTGATGGGTATGTGGGTTGTTTCTCCATTTTTGGCCACAGTAAATAATGTTGTCATGAACATTTAAGAAACAGGTTTTGAGTGGAGTCATGTTTTCCATCCTTTTGGGTATCTAGAAGTAGAATTGTTGGGTCATATGAGAACTTCATGGTTCATTTTTTTTGAGGAAGAACCAAAACTATTTTCCAAAAGAAAAAAAGGCGGACACATTTTACAACCCCACTAGCAATGCATAAGAGTTCTAATTTCACTACATTCTGTCCAATACTTGTTTTTTGATTATTGCCATACAAGTGAAAGTGAAGTGATATTCACAAAGGCCCTTGCAGCCTATAGGTATACAGACTATATGTATCTGAAAAGATATTAGCAATCTAAAAAAAAAAAATCACTAAGATCAGTGAAACAAAGTCCTTATCCTGGAGTCTTTGCCCTATGCTAGACTCAATTCCAATTCACCTTCACTTATGCTCCTGACTCAGTTACCAGCATTAGAGTCAGGGGAGTTTTTTCTAAACATGTGTCTTCTCTCTTCCAGAAAGGCATCAAAGAGCCTGGAGTATACCAAGCTATACAGCACCTGGAGAAGCTCAGTGTCATCTAAGAAACAGAATATCTGAAATTTCTAACAAAACATAGTTTAATTTTTGGCTTGATTATCCAGGCTCCCCACCCAACCCCAATAGCTATAACTTTGTCACAGACTAAAATTGGTTTCATTTTGATGTTATACTCTATTGTAGCTCAAAAGTTTTACTTAAGAAAAAGAAATGGAAAAAAGGATAGATTCTATTGACTAGGGTTGCTCTCGTGTAGGACTGAAAAGGGCCCACATTTAAGATATCAGTTTGGCACATACAGACAACATGAATGCTAGCTTTTCCAGGTCTAAAAAGAGAATAAGTTGAACAAGTTCATTTCATTCAGAAGGAATACTGGTGCCCAAGCCAAAAGGGCATGAGCAGGTGGCAAGCACAGACGTGAGAAGGAAAGCAGTTCTCAGTGTTAGCACTATGGAGCTTTTCGTGGAGGAAAACAATTGAGCTCTGGAATATTTCCAGAGGTTTGGTGGTTGAAGAGATGAGGGAGAATTAAAAAAAAAAAAAAAAAAAACAGAAAAGGAATCAGTGAAAGAGTAAAACCAGGAGCTGACTGGCCAAATGAGGTTAGAGAATTGGTTGTTTAGTAAGGTGGAGGACCTTAGTGAGAGCAGTCTCAGAGAAATCATATGGTTGAAAGTCTGATTGGATAAGGGTCAAGAGAGAATTGAAGGAGAAAACTCAAAAATACAAACCTTGACATATATTTATGTGAATAGTAGAAACACTGGCCCTTCCTGGGTCTCCTGGTTCCATGTTTACCCTCACTTCATCATGTTTTACAAGCTTCTTCCAAGGAGTTCAGTTTAAATATCAAGCACAAGCTTTAGAATTAATTGACCTAGGTTCAAAACCCCAATGGTCTTTCTTACTATATGACAAAGGCAACTTCTCAACCTCTCTAAAATTCCTTAAAGGGGAGATAATAACAGTATCTTCTGGGAAGTAATAATATTTAATCTTTATAAAGATTGGCAATATATGGCAAAAATATGGCCGGCAGTAAATATGGAATGTTGAACTCTTTATTGTGTTATCTTGAAAATGAAAATTTGTTTATGTCAATGATTTTTTCTCTTCATTGACCTTTATCATATGGGTCCCAATTTCATATGCATTTTTTAAAAAATATTTATTTATTTATGCATATAAGAACCGGGGTATAAGCCAGAGGTGTAGAAGGTGAGGGGATTCACCAGAGACAGAGTGGGGAGCAGAACAGACATGTACTGAAATACACTGCCGAGGGGCGCAGAGGGTGAGACATGAGAGGTCTGTTGCGCCATATGGGTTGTTCCCTATCAAGCCACTGCAGCCGCTACAGCATGAGTTCTATCCCGGCCAATTTCATATGCATTGTATCTCTTTCACATTTTACACTCCAAAAATGTAAGAGTACTTGTAGGCCCCAGATTCCTGAGAGCAAGCAAGATACTGGAGTACTTTGCTCTTTTCAGTGCTTGACTTTAGGAGATGCCGTTAATAAGAACCTCCACTAGAGGGAGAGCAAGGAAAGAGGGAGGAGAAGGAACTGAAATTAATCTAGTCTGTAGGTTATTCAAGATACTGTTTTAACTGTGTGGTTTTACAATAATGAGGGGGTCATATGTATTGACATTGTAATAATACTGACAGATCAAGACGCAAGTTGTATTGCCATTGTAAGAGTCTAACTGATGGAAAGGTCGGAGAATCTGAGAGACTGAAGTTATCAATTAAAAAGCAATGGGGTGGGGAGAAGGAAAGGATAGAGGGGGTAATGTGAGCGTGTACTGGCTGGGAAAAGAGTGCTTTCAGGGAAAGGGATGGTCCTGGCTGGATATAGAAATTTGGGAGTCATCAGCATTTAGATGGAATTCAAAGATGAGACAGCCAGGATTGGAATAGCAAGTCAGTGAGGGCGAGCTTGTATACATTTTAAAAAGCTAATTGTACTCCACAATAACATAGTTTTATAAAGGAATGACAAGTTGACAAATTTTGATATAAAATTAACAAATTTAAAATAAAGGAAAGTCACTTGTTTACAAAGACAGTGATAAACAGACATGTACAAGGTAAGGACAGATAAAAACTTGTTTATGCTGAAAGTCCACTCCTAAATCAAAATTAACAGGTTGTCCTGATAAGATGTCTCTGTAAAGTAATATAAATATAAGCACTGAAGTTGAAGCACACTGAGATGCTGGGGACCCCATGCTGAAGCCCTGAGGACTTCTCTAAGGTTTGGTGAGAATGACCAGGGACTCTGGCCCGGAAAGGTGACAATTCTCCTCTTTACAGATATATGGATTCCCTGAGCTTGGTCCTGCCTACACTATGTGCCAGTCTCTGGAACTTTGCCAAGATTTCATTACCTCCCCCAGCTCTTCTACTGCCAATTGAATGGTATGTTTATATCATTGTAATATGGATTTCTCCAATAAATTCATTTATTGTGTTTGAGTCTTAAGTGAAAATTTCCTACTTTATTGAAGTTAGAATTCTAGAGATCCTCAACTGGATATAACATAGGAGCTGCCTCCAACATGAGTAGCCAAGAGAAAGCTGAGTGTTTTTAAAGAAGAAAGGAAAGAGGGGAGAAAGGGGGGTGGAAAGAAGAGGAAAAGAGACAGAAAAGAATAGGAAGAGGGAAAGAGTGGAAAATCTAGCAACTAGACACTGGTCAGCTGCTCTTTAAAAACTTGGACGGCCAAAAGACACCTGTAAAGAAAAGCCAACAAGGGAGGTGACAGAGGCTGGACTAGGGAAGGGGTGGGGAAAGAGAAGTGATGGCGGAGGGGAAGGAGAAGGGGTGGAGAGATCTGAGACCTGGTTAAAGTGAGGGGGGAAAACCAGCCTATCACCGTTACTTGTTACTCGCAGTCTTCCTCAGCACAGCTCACCTATGCCAGACAAGGACCCTGTCACCCTGCTGCTAAGTTGAGAGAGGCTGAAGGGCTACCGGAGATCTAGAGAAGGACCCAGCAAAGACATGGTGAGCTTCAAGTCTAAAAGTTTTCCATATGTTCAGACAGAACCTCATTTTGGGATTGCAAGGCAGGTGGCAAAGGACAGGAGCAACACATTTCATTTTGAGTTAAAAAAAAAAGTCAAGAACTAAAAATGTTGTTCAAAATAGTGCTCTTGAACCTGCTTGCGTGTGCTTATTTTTCCAATTTGATCTACTTGTGCTGAGATTCTTGAAGAAGTCTATCTTGTTAAAATTTGCATTTTGTGGGAACTAAAACAGGCTGTCTGAGAAGTGAAATACTGAAGGTGTGCAGAAAATTTGTGGCTTTGACATTTGTGTTGCATAAACATGCATTTCTTTTTAGTTGAACTACTTTTCTTTACAGGCATCTTTTGGCTATTTTATTTTTTAAAGGTACTTAAATCATTGAGCTGTTATAAGCAAATGTGAACTTTTAACAATCAATCTAGACATTAGCAGTTCATTAAACACCAAAGAACGCTTAAAAATATACATACTAAGCATCAAATAGTTTCACCTAACAGCTCAGTAGAAAAGCAGTACAAAAAATTACTAATGTAGAAATAATCAGTGATAATCAGCAACTCAAGAATAAGAAATGAATTTTAAAAAAGCTCCTATGCATCAGTTTTGAGGCAAATTTTGCGCTACTTTTTTCACTCCTGTCTAAGAAATCCATTACCCAGAACAGCTTTAGTAAGCAGATATTATGTTTTGGAGTTTAAAAAAAGTTGTGGGAACCTCCTCAAGGTGCTGGAAACTTGTGATTTAAGAGTATAAATCTAAGTATAATACTATGTTTTATTTGCAGATATTTCCAGGGAAATGTCAGAGTGTTCAGAGGGCAATATGGGATGTCTTCAGATTGTGGGTCTGGATAGTGCTCTGCTGTGGTAAGCTGTGGTGTTTGTATATTACTAAGAATTTTTTTAATGCTGTTTTTCTTAAATATCCACTGTGTGTACATGACAGCAGGAAAAATTAGTAGGTAGACAGCTAGCTATTTCTATCTCCTCTTCCTCTCATTTTTAGTGCTCCCCTAGAAGTCTCCTAATCCTGACCCACCCTTTTCCTGTAGGGTCCAAATCCTAATAATCCCACTAAAATTTTAATGATGAAAAAATAAAGTCAACAAAGAAATAGTTGACCAGGCACTTCCAAATATTTAGACTACATTTTCTGTTTTCTCTGAGGGCACAGCAATCCCATTCTAAGATTAAAGCGTAAGCTCCTTACAGACAGATCTTTATATATCTTTTGATCTTTCCCTCATTGATGCAAAGGTTTAATGTCTGATTCTTGAACACTCTACAGCAAAGTTTGAACTTTCTTTCCCATTGCTAACTAGGGCCTTCCTCTCTAGCATGGAGTGTCAGCTCTGCTCAAGCAAATGTGCGGCCTCTCACACATCTACCTCGTGCTGTAGTCTCATTAAACAAATGTTTCTGAGTCCCTGACATGTGCCCGAAATTATTCTAGGCTCTGAGGGTACATAGTGAACAAAACAGCTTTTTCATTCTTAGAATTTACATGCAAATGGGTTACACCTTCAGAATTCTGCTCCAAAAGTTTATCTGATGATTTTCTTTATTCATTAATCATTCCTATTTCTCAGTTCTCTTTTCAGCTCTTATATATTTAAATTGGGTCAAGATTAATTATGTTTTCTTAGCACCTGTTCTTCCTTGTTCAGAAGCTTGAGGACACTAAAAATGAGGTCTGTGTTATTTTTGGCATTCCTCCATGGGGTTGATCCTACACAGTGAAAGTATAATAAATGTTAATAGCTGTGGACTGTCACTCATAGCAGGAATTTAGAAAACTTAAATAAGAGACCAGGAAAAAGACTAATCAATACAAAGTAAAAATCAAAATCAACAAGCAGCTATAAACCAGAGACACACTATGGGAGAGGGGGCATGGGGGGGTGGGGATAGGAAGGACTAGAGTCAAAATAAGGGGGGGTGCAATTGTATGGGGAATATAACCATAATGAAAATGCATACATTGTGCAAAGATGAAAAATGATGTAAAAATTATATAAAATAAAATATTAAAAAAATAGCTGTGGACTGACCTTACAGCATATTAGTGTTTCACCCAGATCACATCATGCTTAGGATGGTAGCTATGACTATGGAGCCTTACTTATTTATGTGTTTGGGTTTCTTCAAAAGCCCTTGTATTTGAAGAACCCATATGATTATCAAATACTATTAATTAAATACCTTTGTGTGTAGAACATGATCTAAGTCATTTTTCTAACTTACATTATTTGATTTTATAAATTGTTGTTATTGAGTAGTTAGATATACAAGGTTTACACTGTGTATTTAGGCTTTCCTTTTCTATAAAGTATTATGGCAAATATTATCTTTTTGATCTGAAAAAAAAAAAGATTACTTGAAAAGCCATCATTATTCCCATTCTTATTTCATTTTTTCTTTAGGAACATAAATATTGGCCTTTAAGAATGTATCCTAAGATAAAAAAAGCAGACAGTAAATCTTAGAGTTATATGATAATGCACTTAAATTAGTTTTAAATGATGGATAGCCAAAGGAAAAGAAATATGAACTTCTAAAATATGTTGATTAAATATCTCTTGAAAGAATTTTGAGAAGACTATTTCATGAAAATCTAGAAAGCCAGCGAATTTGACTAAAATAGAACTGTGAGCAAAAGGATGTTCTATTATGGTGAAAATTAGGACCAGGAAGTCAAGATCATCGAACCTGCAAATGACTAATTCTATCATCTCAAGGATGTAGTTACATTGTTGAGGTATCAGTTTCCTTATTTCTAGGTGATTCTCAGCCTGGGTTAGTAGCCTGGTATGCTTTAGCTGTAACAGAGCCTACCTAACTCATGTCTTTCAGATTTCCTTGCCCATCATGGAACTGACTGCTGGACTTACCATTATTCTACTAATCCCATGAACTGGGAAAAGGCTAGAAGGTTCTGCCAACAAAATTACACGGACATGGTTGCCATACAAAACAAGGGAGAAATTGAGTACCTGAACAGGGAGCTTCCCCGCAGTCAGACTTACTACTGGATAGGAATCCGGAAAATAGGAAAACTGTGGACCTGGGTGGGAACCAACAAGACTCTCACTAAAGAAGCAGAGAACTGGGGGCATGGGGAGCCCAACAACAAGAAATCAAAAGAGGACTGTGTGGAGATCTATATCAAGAGGGAAAAAGACGCAGGAAAATGGAATGATGACGCCTGCCACAAAGCGAAGAGGGCCCTCTGTTACACAGGTGGGAGTGAGCAAGCTGCTGTGGTGCTGAGGAAGGGCCTGGTTGAAGGAAATAACTAGACAGAGCAGTGGAAGTGCTGGGGGAAGAGAGCAGTTGACAGTAAGATCTTCAGTACTTCAACACCTTTAAATAAGTCAGAATCATATCACTGCTGAACCCTTTTAATATGTGAAGCTGGTCCCTATAGCCAAAAACTATGCCTCTCAATCAAGCTACAAGGTAATAAGAGATGTGGGAAGTAAAGAGGAAAAACTAGAGGACTAGCATCCCTGATAATAAGTCAGAGTAGTGTCCACAGAGACTTGGGCCTAGTCAAGAGCTAAGCCTCCCATCTCTGTTTCCTCATTAAAAAGTATGGGGCTTGGTAAAGTCTTTCTTGGGCTAATCTTACCTGATTTTATATATATATTTCTGTAAAAACCGTTATCAGTTCCAAAGCAGGATTTTTCCAAATCTTATTTTAACAATGAGACATAGTCAGTTTGGTCTCTTGTAAACTGGACTCACTACTAATTTAGCAAATTTGGACTTTTTCATCTTAATGGTTTCTTTAAAGAAGGTATTCCCAAGCATAGCTTGTTTATGGTTTGTTTATGGTTTGACCTGTTCATGGTTTTTCCTCTCATTCTGCACTTGACTAACATACTATTCATCTTTAAAACACAATTCAGGGATCATTTATTCCAGGAAACACAAGTGGAATGGCAAGACCTGAATTGGGATGACTGATTTCCAGTCTTCATTTGATCTACTACACCACCAGTCAGAACAGGGAAATCAATACAATTTCTGGAGAAGGTTGTCAAAATCAGAACTAAATTTATGCTTAATAATTCTAATTATTAGAATCAGGTTATCATTAAAACCAAATAAATTTCAAGAGTTTCTTATTATGACACTAAGTTTCCCCAAAGTGTTATAGGTAATCAATAAATTGATTCTAAAAACAAATATCCATGGTATCTAGCTAGTATATGATATAAATAAAAATTTTAACATATGGTTTTTATATAAAAAGTGCTATAAATGCACAAATACACCTTTTCTGGTTATTAAAATAGTCTTAGCCAGAAAAGCTGTCTATGTCTAAAGAAATGACTATGGACACTAAAAATAATCACATTAAAATGTTTTATTTTCTGACCCCCTTAAAGCTTCTTGCCACCCCTTGTCATGCAGTGGCCATGGAGACTGTGTGGAAACCATCAATAATTACACTTGCAACTGCAATGTGGGGTACTATGGTCCCCAATGTCAGTTTGGTAAGTCTCTCTCCTTTCTTTGTTTCTTTCTATGTAAAGTCACTGGAGACAGCATAGTTTATGGTTGGGACAAAATAAAACAGTCATTCTGAGAAATGGGAAGTTTCAATCAGAAGACTATGCTTGCACAATGTTGTTACCTTTCTGTAAAGAATTCATAAGTCATCATGGAGTTTTAATGCAGTTCTCAAGTCCTTTAGAAAATCACAAAAAAGAAAACATTGGAATAAATGCTATAAAGATTGCAATAATGCCAATGAATTGGGCATGGTAGATTCTTATATTTATGGAGATTGTAATCTAATAAATTTGTTGGATTCATTAGTCTGAAAGAAATATCATTTGTTGTTAGGAGTATGAGCTATTCAGAAGGTAATCTTGTTATTGTTTATTTGTTTTTAAATGTCATCCTCAAAGTTAAGACAGGTCAAGGCCATCATGAAATGAAGTATATGTCAGATATATAATAATAGATTTAACACATTTATTTCAAGGGATATGAAGAAAAATCTATCCTGGGTTCTGCCTTGAAGGATTTAGAATAAGTGGAAATTGTCTATGCTATAATTGAGTCTGATGGGAAACAAAATAAACTGGAGTAAGCTTATGGATTCTGGAGGTTGCCTAATGAAGGAATCTGGCCTTTATTTGGCAATGGGAAAACACCCAGTGTCTGAGCACCTTCACTTAGAGCAATTATCTGAGAAGTACTGTATAGCATGGACTGGAGAACAACATGAGAGCAGATGAGGAGAATCATTCGGAGTCTCTTGAAATTATTCAGAATTGTGAAGGCAGAAACAGAAATGAAGGAACACATAGATTCAAAGACAAGGTGTCTTTGACCCAGTCAACTCGCTACTAAAAGATACACCAAATCCTTTGATTGATGTTGGCCAAGTTTCAAAACTATGTTTGAAGTATCTCATGCATAAAATAGAAAATTATAGGAAGAAAAAGGACCGATGTTTGCAAAGGATAAAGATTTAAAGTCAAAACAATTTAAATATAAACCAACTGGCATTGTTATAAGTCATTTCACTTGAGCCTTAAACCGTGATGCCTATCCTGAGTCCATTTCTCAACTTTATTTTTAAGTCTTTTTATCATTGGTACATCCTTTAATTTTTAATTCCTTTTTGAAAATTTTACTCTTCCCCCCGCCTTTTTTTTTTTGGCTCAGTTTCCACATATCACTCTTTCCTGCTTCTCCTTTTTTTTTTTTTTTTAAAGATTTCTTTCTTTCTTTCTCTTTCTTTCTTTCTTTCTTTCTTTCTTTCTTTCTTTCTTTCTTTCTTCTTTCTTTCTTTCTTTCTTTCTTTCTCTCTTTCTTTCTCTCTTTCTCTCTCTCTCTCTCTCTCTCTTTCTTTCTTTCTTTCTTTTTTTCTTTTCTTTTCCTCTTTCTCTCTTTCTTTCTACAAGCACTGGGTACAGTCAGAAGCCGGGAGGGTGAGAGAATTCACCAGAATAGGCAGACTGATGAAATACACTGCTGAGGGGAGCAGCAGCGGGCAGAAGGAGAGGCATGGGCGCCATGTGGGGCCCTTGCTCGGTGGCCAGGGATCAAACAGGCGCTGCAGCCAGCGCTGCAGAGGCTGCGGGCCGATTCGCAACCCAGCGCTCAAGGGCTGCGCTACCAGGGAGGCCACTCCTGCTTCTTCTATCTGGGATCATTTCTCCTTGAGTTTCTTCACGGGGGCACTTATCCAAGCCTATACACTGTGGTTAATCTCATCCTCTGTGTTTTGTCAATTGACTCTGGCTCTGTAAGTCTCCTTTGGTTAAATTTACTGGCATTTGTGGACTCAGAAATCTTTGTCAGTTTTGGACTGACAAATCTGTTTCCAGCCCTGATATGCTAAGCATAGCCTTTGAGATGCCTCAAAGACTGTAAAACTCACTTTGCCAGCTGACTTCCCTATTTGCATTGCCTAGCTCAGTAATTGGCACCACTATTCTTATGGGTGGTCCCCTGAGATTCTTTCATTCTTTCATGTGCTCTTATATTTATGCAAAGTAACATACCACACATTTTTATAACATTATTTGTCCAGTTTGTTTTCTACTTGTCAATTCCACCATTGTTGCCCTTATTATCTTCCTCCTAAATTATTTCAATAATCTCTTAGCTAAGTTCCACAAGTTTAAAGTCATTTTCCCTCAAATACATTATTCATACTCCTGTCAGGCTGTTCAATTAAAAACATTCAAACACCTCACATAGATAACCATGTAAACTCTGCAAAGTTCAGAGTAATATTTGATATATAGTAGGTATTCCTTAAATCAATGAAGAAAGATAAGAACATTTTGTCATAGCTCTTCTCTTTCTCCCTAATCTCATCTCACATCATCCCTGCCTCCTCTTCTATCAATATACTTGCAGTTCTCCACACTTACTACATAGGTTTTGTATTTCATTTGTGGCTTGTTTATGGTTTGACCTGTTCATGGTTTTTCCTCTCATTCTGCACTTGACTAACATACTATTCATCTTTAAAACACAATTCAGGGATCATTTATTCCAGAAAACACAAGTGGAATGGCAAGACCTGAATTGGGATGACTGATTTCCAGTCTTCATTTGATCTACTACACCACCAGTCAGAACAGGGAAATCAATACAATTTCTGGAGAAGGTTGTCAAAATCAGAACTAAATTTATGGAACTAGAAAGGCAAAGATAATCTGGAGGCCAAGATGTTCCCCAAAGTTTCTATTTTCTTCCTTTCTAACTAATTCTGGGCAGAACCTCCCACTCCAGATATTCTAGTATGTAGAAATTATTTCCAAACTGAGGTAGTCATTCCCACATAAAACCATATAGGTTTAAAAATTCTCTCCCAGATAATACCAATAGTCATTCCCACATAAAACCATATAGGTTTAAAAATTCTCTCCCAGATAATACTAGCTACTATTTAATTAGGACTTCCTGTGAGCCAGGCTCTTTCCTAAAATCCCTACTTGATTTAAATCATTTAATTTTCACACCAACCCTAGGAAGTAGCATAGTTATCATTATTCCTCTCTTTCAGATGAAGAAACTGAAATCGGTAGGTTTAAGTCATTTGCCATAAGGCACATGGTTATCAGGTGCAGAAAGGATTCATATCCAGGCTTCAGGTCCTCCTGACACTACCTAATAGCTTTTCTTTTCTTATTGAAGTGATTCAGTGTGAGTCTTTGGAGGCCCCAGAGCTGGGAACCATGACCTGTACTCATCCTTTGGGAGACTTCAGCTTCAGCTCACAGTGTGCCTTCAATTGCTCTGAGGGAACAGAAATGATTGGGATTGAAGAAACCACATGTGAACCACATGGGAACTGGTCATCGCAGAAACCAACATGTCGCTGTTAGTAACTGTTCAAATTAGAGGCTGTGAGATGGCATCCTAACTTAACACACTGAGGAAATGTAGCAGAGTCATTCTAAGAAATCTATATTCACTTTTGGAGGATAAGTTATCCTAATTTTGATGACTTTCGAAAGGGTTATTGCTACTGAAATGAAAAGAAAAACCACAAGTGAAAAACAACCACCAAATACCTCTGTAGTCACCACATCATATGTATGTAATTTTCAGCAATTCAATGTGGTTATACTGCATTATTTTATTTTATTTTTCTCATTGCCATGGCATAAATGACCAGTCTTGCTGAACTTCAGTTAAATTTTGTTTCTGTTTTTGTTTTTTTATATAATTCTTACATCATTTTTCATCTTTGCATCATTAGTGTTGTGTGCAAAAAAGTTCTCCCAGTCGGTAGGGTTTCTCATTGTTTTTGTTATTGTCTCTTTTGCTGTGCAGAAGCTCTTTAATTTGATGTAGTCCCAGCTGTTTATCTTTACCTTCACTATCACTGCTTAGGGTGATGTGCCCGTAAAGATGTCTTTGATTGCATGTCATGTAGTGTTTCACCTGTATTTCCTTCTATGTATTTTATGGTTTCAGGTCTTATGTCTAGTTTTTTAATCCATTTTGAGTTAGTTTTTGTGCATGGTGTGAGGCAGTAGTCAAGCTTCCTTCTTTTACAGGTAGCGACCCAGTTTTCCCAACACCATTTATTGAACAAACTTTCTTTGCTCCAGTGCATATTCTTTGCTCCTTTGTCAAAGATTAGTTGACCATAAATCTGTGGTTTTATTTCTGGATTTTCTATTCGATTCCATTGGTCTGTGTGTCTGTTCTTGTTCCAATACCATGCAGTTTTGTTTTGTTTTTTTCTGTGCTCTCAATAATTCCTATTTTATGTGGTGTCCTACTTAACATCAACCAATTTCCTATTTGGGGAGTAGAGATCTTTTTTGATTGTTTTATTTGGTTTACTCTTAAAATCACCTTTTACTTTTCCTCCTCCATGAACTCTCAGGAGAAAAACAACTGCTATAAAAAAAAACAAAAACAAAATAGCTTCATCTTTTTTTCATTTGAAATGTGCTGGTTTTCCTTTTTAACAAACAAGACTGCCCCTACATGGGAGAAAGCTGGTGGCATCCAAACTTATGAAGTTTGGGTGACAGTTTTTATATTTATGCTCCTGGCTCATATATTGAGGTGGTTTAATTCTCAAATGAAATTAACAGAATCATTTATTGAAATCATACAACTAAACTGATCAACCTGCTGAAGTTGAGTGATTTGTTTCAGAGAATTGGATGGTTTTCAAAAGTAGTTGGGTAGACATTAGCACAGGTGAAAGGGTTAGAATTCTTTTCATTTACTGAGAATATTCCACAAGAGCTCCCGAGGCAAAGGCCATGCATGTAGTATGGCACCTCCTGCCATTGGAGAATTACAAAAGTTGGGTGCAACCCTCCAACTTCTATTCCCTAAGGGCTCTGATGATCTCCTGGCTTCAACTCTGACTCAATACCTTCCATGGTAATCAAGAGAATAAAACTTATTGTTGAAAGTAATTTCTAGAAATGAGAAATGTCTAGATTCATGTGGATGGGTTTCACAGTTCAGTCAGGCAGCTTTGACAAAAATCATTTGGTCAAAAGAGGGTCTCTGCTCAGTCTAGTGACTTTTTTCTTTTGCATTGAAGTGATTCAGTGTGAGCCTCCAACAGCACCTGATTTGGGGACTATGGACTGTAGTCCCCCACTGGCCAACTTCAGCTTAACTTCTGTGTGCACCTTCAACTGTTCAGAAGGAACTGCATTAATGGGGGAGAAGATAACTACCTGTAGATCACCTGGAAATTGGTCTAACTCCAGTCCAATATGTCAAAGTGAGTAATTCGTCCTGATATACTGAGGACTTAAAGATGGAGCTGAAAGATAAGCAGAAAATGGGAAAGATATATTGAATGATTAAGTTTCATTTTGTGAAATGTGTGTTGCTTACAAATAAATTATACACATTAATTTTCTATAAAACCCATGGTTATCCTTGCTTCCTCCTTCAATGATAGCCATCTGGCTTTGTCTGTCAATTCTCTACTCTTATTTTAGCTCTTACAATCTAAGCTCTCTATCTCTACTAATTTATTTCTTATCTGTTCATATAGTCCACTATAATCTCTCTATTATTCCATTAAAATGCTTCTACAAATATCACCAGTGACCACCTAATTCCCAAAGTAGAAAATACTTCTCAATTATCCCTAATTGTGATAATTCTCAACTATCCCAAATCTCTGTCTGTTCATGAGAACAACTAGGTCTCCCTCATCTCTGTAAACCCTCCAACTGACAGAGTCCCTGGCAATAGGTGCTCAATAAATGGACATTAAATTAACATGTGGAAGAATTGTTATCCATGTTTGCCCTTGAGACCAATTAACAAAAGTCTTTAAATGGTATGAACTGTAGCAACTATCACTGAAGCTGATCTCCATGTGGCCCAAGGGTAGAAGGGATCATGGGAATGAAGGTGGTGAGGGAAAGTCTTCATGAAATGATTTTCTACAGCTTATGGGATCTTCTGTTTTATGGAAGAATGAGCACCCATTTCCCAATCCTCAGGCAGCCAATAGGTGCCCTCTGTTTGCATCCTCTGGAAACTTTAATCTTCTTCCCATTATATATTTGGGTGTGAGGATGGAAGTGACTTGAGAGGGTTTATATGAAAAATAAGGGGCAATCAGACAGTACCAATATACAGAGGAAAGTTTCTTTAATTGGTGGTATCAGAAGATAGATTTTTTCAAGTAGGCATTTTTTTTCAATAAAGCCCCCCCCCAAATAAATTTAACTCACTCTTACAAATATATATATCCTTTTACTTACCTGTGGAGAAAGTGAAGGGGGAAAGCTAGGAATGCATCATTCAAAAGGCAGTTATTTGCACTGAGGCTTTAAAGTAAAAGCATGAGTAAGTTACTTTGATTAGCTGTTTCAGATCATTGGCTTTTCATTTTTCCAAAAGTATATTAGACTTTTTAGTTTTTCTCTGGGTTTCTGAATTGAATAAGACCATCGAATAAGGCCATGGGGCTAAATATAATAATGACTATTTCTTGCCCATATTTTTTGGTACATATATTTGTGATTCCATGAATCACAAATCTGGGGATTGAGATTCTATAGGCATTGTATTAGCTAAGTGGGTGCATTCTTTGCCTCTCCTGTAGACTCATCTTGGGCCAGTGTCCTGATCTGTTAATCGGCATAAATGGGCTATTATTAGGAAACATAAGGAGGAAAAAAGTGGACGATCATGAGATGACACTAAGGAAATAATGTTTGTGACCTCATGCTATGCACTTCACTGATTTCTCTTTCAGAATTGAACAAGAGCTTCACAATGATCAAGGAGGGTGACTACAACCCTCTCTTTATTCCGGTGGCAGTCATGGTTACTGCATTCTCTGGACTGGCATTCATCATTTGGCTGGCAAGGCGATTAAAAAAAGGTATGTGAGTTTACTTTCATCTAAAAGCAATACATTAAAGAGAAAATAATACAGAAACCCACAGGAATTAAGAAGGATATTTTCAACTGAAGCAGGACAGGCCCTGTTTTATAGGCAGCTGTTCTGGTACATACTTTCATTAAAACAAATTGATTGACTTTTGTTTTTTAACTGACAAATCTTTAAAAAAATAGAATCTGGTCTAACCTCAGATTCTTCAAGGTGACTTACTAGGGTGCAACAAATAGGATACTCCAGTAGGTCTTTGCTCTCATTTAATGTGCAAAAAGGATGCATGATCTCTCTCCTCTAAGATGACATAGATGCCTTTGATTTCAGTGTGATAATTCCATTAGAAAGTGATTCTAATGTCCACTAAAGTTTCACGGCATCAGTCCCAAAAACCTGACCTTCTCAAGCGTCCAATGTTTGTCTGAAACCTGACATGTAGGGATTACATGGTCCCCAAAGGAAATCCTATATCTTCTCCCAGTATCTAGTTACCATGGTTGAAGTTCTAGCCAAATGACAACTTGCTCAAGTTTCTCCACCCTGGGATGGAGAAGGGAATCAGGACAACGGCTCTATAAGTGATTATCTGCAGCCTGGAGTAGCGGGTGGTACAACGCCAGCTAAGAACAGAAGTTTCACTCCACTCACCTCCTTCTGGGTGTGTCCCAAACCCTAAAATAGAACCAATCTGCCAGTCACGGGCCCACAGTAGAGGCAAAGCTTGGGCGTGTGCTGAAACATCAGCTAGACACATTCACCTAGCAGAAACATTCAAGACTATGCAATTTATGGATATTGGGTTGCTTTTTAAGATATTCCTGCTTCCCTGGTGGCGCAAAGGGGTTAACGTCAGCACTGTGGAGCTATCCGCAGCCACTGCAGCATGAGTTTGATCCCCAGTCAGAGAGCTAACCCACATGGCACAGCAGACCTTTCCTGTCTTGCCCGCTGCTTCCCTCAGCAGTGTATTTCAGTTAGACCTGCCTGTTCTGTTTCCCACTCTGTCTTTGGTGAATCCTCTCACCCCCACCCTACCTCTGGCCTACACCCCTGTTCTTGTATGCATTAATAAATAAAATAAATCTTAGGAAAAAAAGATACCCCTGCTTCACATTCAGGGCTACTGAAGACCTCAAAACAATGGCTAACCAACTGCCCTGTGCTACCCTTCCTTGGTGTTGATTTCCCTTTTAATAATACTTCCATAAAATTAATTCCTATGTGTTCTGTTCCATGAATATGTTGTGTAGTAGCTCTTACCCAATCCCTGTACCCTTACTGGCAATTGCAGGAATATTATCTACTAATTCCCAATGGTTTTGCACTATAATCTGATTTTTCATCTAAAATTTAAGAATAAGGGTGCTTGATTAATTTTCTAACCATCCCAGAGAGATGATGGAGGTGGGCATGTCCATGAATAAGAACTCCATTAACTGTAAGGTGAGAGTTCTGAGCAGTTAAATGTCTCTGCTCCTGTTAGAAGTTCTGCTGAGATTATATCTTATTCTCTTATGCCACTATACTAAGTACAAAAGGGTTACACTAAAGCAAAATAAGGATAACATTTGTCTCTTGCCACTCTGACTTCAAAGCCTAATTGTCTTTTCTTTCATCTTACCTTAAGAGATGAAAGCAGAACAGAGAGCATAGAGAACAGAGTAGGTAATTACTCTCACTTGGGATAGGGAGTTATTGTCTAAATAACCTCTGAGGACTTTGGGTTTGTGAGTCATCTTAATGAAGAGGATATTTATTCCCAATTTCCAAAATCATTTAATAAATGTTAGTAGAATCAAATAAATAGAAGTCACATGTACGTAGTGTGTGGGGGTGTGTGTGGGGAGTGGTGGGTATAGTTGGCTAAGGCTGTTTTACAAGCAGTGGTGAGAAAAGCAGTGGGGTTGTTTTGAAATTTTTTTTGCCTTGGAGTCATTTCAGTACAAGATCTCAAACTGATAACTTGAAAACTGCCAGCTCCTGCTGTGGGAATAAGTATGGGGCAAACAGGAAACAGATAATATATCGGGCAGTTAGGCTAGTCAGAGTTAAGCCAACAAAGAGCAGAAGTTCACAGGCTCACTGTGCAGGAAAGTCAGGGTCTCGTTCACAGAATATTTAAGTTGTCTTCATTGGTGAAACAGCTTCTCTTCCTCCAAATTTCAAGTGACTTTGTCTTCCAAAAAATGTTAGTGGTAAATTTGTTCTTTCAAACATGAAGAATAACGTTTCCTCTAGAGACAATCTTAGTAGGTTCCCAGGCTAAGCCCCCAGAGCTTTTCTAATACAATGTAGCTGAAGCATTTCCAAGAATAAAATTTAAAAAATAGTTTTTTCATATATATACACATATATATGTGTGTGTGTGTGTGTATATATGTATATGTATATATACACACACAAACTATGAATTTTGAGATTTTTATAGGCTTTTGGGCTCAGACAGTTAGGAAAAGGGTACAGGTGAATGTTGAGAGCATAACAACCAAAATGAATGACCAGAGTCTTGAAACCCATCCTTTTGTCTTGAGATGATTCTTTTGAATGTGCACTTCGACACCTGTTCTGATTGTCTTGATCTTCATAGTTTGCGCCTTTCTTCTGGGAAGGAGTAAGGATGGACTCTAGAAACATGTGCCCCTCTGTATGGACTTGTTTAGAAATACTTCCCCCCACCCCCTGTAGCATCATTCTCTGCTTAGTCATTGGTCTTGTTTGGTAAATGAGGAAATTGAGGTAATGATGGTTTTGGTCAAATCCCTAAGAATCCATATCATCTGGGACCAGAATCAGAGGTCATTTTCCCATCTAGATATACTCCCTGGCACTACAGGTCTTCAAATTCATGAGATTCTATTTTTCTCTTTGGTTGGAAGAATTTTCCACCAGAACCAACTTACAGGGCTAGAACAGGGCACTGAGCAGAGCACGTGCCCACTAGTTCCCCTTTCATCAAAAAGAAACTCATTCAGGGCCTCCCTGGTGGTGCAGGTGGTTGAGCGCAGCACTGTGAAACTGCCTGCAGCCTCTGCAGTGCGGGTTCCACCCCGGCTGGCTGTGGAGAGACCCCCATGGCGCAGCAGACCTCTCCTGTCTCGCCCACTGCTCCCCTCAGCAGTGTATTTCAATCAGTCTGCCTGTTCTGTTCCCCGCTCTGTCTCTGGTGAATCCTCTCACACTCATGCACATCTGGCCTGTACCCCAGTTCTTGTATGCATGAATAAATAAACCTTAAAAAAATCTATAGATAAAGAAAAAGAAACTCACTCAGTGGGAACAGATTCTGCTTGTGAATCACTGCTTCACTTTTCCTAAAATAAAAATATTTATCTGAAGATAAACAAACCAAATCTGAAATTAACTCACATTTAGCTCTCCTGCTCAAGAGAATTTGGTTCATGTCATCAGCAAGATGAATTTGGGAAGAAATATTTTATTTATTTATTTTTTTAAAGATTTATTTATTTATTTATACAAGCACTGGGCACAGTCAGAAGCACGGGAGGGTGAGAGAATTTACCAGAGCCAGAGCAGGGAGCAGAACAGGCAGACTGATGAAGAAGTACACTGCTGAGGGGAGCAGCGGGCGTGGCAGGAGAGGTCTGCAAGCCATGTGGGACCCTCACCCAGCGGCCAGGGATTGAACTGGTGCCGCGGAGGCTGCGGGCAGCTTCACAGCCCAGCGCTCAACCGCTGCGCCACTGGGGAGGCCCAGGGAAGAAATATTTTAAACAGCAATTTTCAACGTCGTAATTAGTGAACAATTGAGTAATTGAACACTGTTTAGGCTCTAGGCCTTGCACTAAATATGTGGAACATATTTTATGCTATAAATTCAGTGAAGATAATAGACTATGGCTTAAAGTGGATAAACAGCTATCAAAGACACACTTTAGTAGTAACTAGGACTGTACCCAGATTGACTGATTCTAAAGCCCAGTTTATAGACATTAAAATATATTGCTCCCTAGTGATTTTTTCCTCATCAAAAAAGTGCTCTCTCTCTCTCCCCCCCCCTTTATTTTATATGGGGGGACCAACTCTACACAGTTCATTCCTTTATCTACTCATGTATATGCTGTTTTTTCCTCTAAAATAGTTCGTAAAAAATTTATAAAATTCATTCATTACAGCTAGTTAAAACTAGATCAAAAATCAGAAAAAGAAGGCTGAAATTTAGGATAAAAATAAATTGAAATCAGGGTAAAGTTAAGACATAAAATGTGTGGATAAAATCTTGTATATACTGGATAGAAGAAGGTATCAGTTCTGGTTCTGGGTTTTCATGCAGCCAAAGAAGGAAACATAACCAAGTATACTAGTCACTGGAGCTTGTAAGATAAAAATCACTGGATGGTGATAGATCTTAAGTAGATTACTCTGGTCATTTTGAAATATTACAAAATCAAATAGCTATGTTGTGCATCTGAAAGGTATGTTATATGTCAACTATATATAAATTTAAAAAATAGTACACACACAAACAAGAGTCAAGCAAAGGAAAGAAAACAACAGATCAATTTCTCAGATGAGGTGTATAATTCCTTCCACTGGGATCTGAGTGAAATTTCTCTTGTGAATGCTCACAAAGATGGAGTGAGGTGCAATGACACATATCCTACAGTCCTTAGTGAAGTCTCTCTCAGGTAGAATGAGATGGCAGGTAGGGAGGGATCAACAGGTGAATGGGTGTTTTGGGTCTTACCTTTAGACAAGTCAGGATAGATTTCTCTCTCTAAAAATAGCACAGAGAATTGGATGGAGCTCTAAGAAGAAGCTGCCTAAATGGGTCTGTTCTGAATATCTAGCTACCTGTGTTTGAATCAGAACACTAAACCAAATTAGAACACTACCTCAGATCCTCTTTTTTGATAGAGATGGGAGCCACCTAACCAATGCATGATTTACATCACTATGGAAATCTATGCAGAGGTGCCTCAAAACACTAAATAAAAATGGACCTACCATATGATCCAGCAATTCCACTCTCAGGGATCTACCCAAAGGACACAGAAACAAAAACACTAACTCAAAAGGAAATCTGCACTCCTGTTTATTGCAGCATTATTTATAATTGTTAAGATATGGAAACAACCCAAATGCCCCAAACAGATGAGTAGATAAAGAAGATGTGGTATATATATAATGGAACATTACTGACTGATCAAAAAAGATAAACTCATGCCATTTGCAGCCACATGGATGGAGATGGAAGGGATTATGCTAAGCGAAACAAGTCAGGAGAAAAAATACCAGATGGTTTCACTTTTTTGTAGAATAGAGAGAACTCAAACAAAGTGTCAGAAAAAAAAAAAACACCCCAAAACTTGCAAGATGAGCCTATAGCTGGGGAGGAGAGAGAGTGGTCAAAATAGGGGAGAGAAGAGCACAAGGGATGGTGGTGATGGGTCACAGGTGCTGTGGTGTGGGAGAACTACAGGGACCACACTGAAGGAGAGAAATAAAATACTATCCAAAAATGAACAAAGATGTAAGAAAATAAATAAAACATTTTCCAAAAGTTAAACAAAAAAGTGCATTGTGTACTTCTAAAGTCAAGGAATTCTCCTACACTGCTGGTGGGAATGCAAACTGGTCCAATCACTATGGAAAGTTGTGTGGAGGTTTCTCAGACTACTAAAAATGCAACTATCATATGACCTGGCAATTCCACTCCTAAGGATCTACCTAAAGGACAGAAAACATTAATTCAAAAGGATACTTGCACTCCTATGTTTCTTGCAGCATATTAGGTAAGACTTGGAACAACCCAAATGCCCAAAAATAGATGACTGAATCAAGAAGATGTGGTATATGTACACAATGGAATATTATTCAGCAATCAAAAGATAAAATAATGTCATTTGCTAGATGGAGTTAGAAGGAATCATGGAGGGAGCCAGAAGGGATCATGCTCAGTGAAATAAGTCAGATGGAAAAAGAAAAATATTAGATGGTTTCACTTATAAGAGGAATATAGGGGAATCAAATAAGGGACCAAGGGGGGGAAAACCATAAAAAACACAACAAAACAAAACAATAGAGAACTATAAATCAGAGACATTCTGCAGGGTAGGGGGAGGGAGAGAGACCAAAGTTAGGGCAGGAAGAACACAAGGGACTATGGTGATGGTGCACCAGTGAATTGGTGGTGGAAATTCTATGGGGACTACACCTGAGAAAAGAAAGCAAACATCGTAAAAAAAAAAAAAAAGGACAATGATGTAAAATATATATTTTTAAAAAGTTAGTGTTGAGAAGTATCTCCCTTCTTACTTTAAAAATATTGAAATTGTCTACTTTACTGATGCCATTTTTCTATTTCTTTTATTTTTAGGCAAAAAGTCTCAGAAACGGTAAGTTTTATCAGTAAGGAGTTTCTACATCTGTTGATCTCTTTTCTACCTTTCTTAAGATACTTCCTGTTACAGCTAGACACATTGACTCCTTCATTTAAACAGGGTCTTATTGAAATAATGTTTCTGGATAAAGTGATACATTTACTAGTCTCTCTTAAAAGCTGTGCTTTTTTAGTGCCAGTAGAGTTGAAATTAATGAATGAATGAAGGAATGAGTAATGTCCTATGAGGAAGCCGCAGTTATTTACAGGGAGTGCTTTCTGATTGTCCCTGATTTTTTTTGAGGATGAGAAGCATTGTGCTATGCTTCTGATTGCACATGAGGGCAATACTAAATATAATATTCAGGAAATTTTTAATTCAACAAACATTTATTTTTGGCGTGGATCTCAGGCCCCATGAAGAATGTATAACTGCAGACCCCAAGTCCATTATGCCTAACACAAAAAAAGACTACTAATTGCACATATAAACATTGACCTTTAGAAATATGAAAAATTGGGGAGTATTCTCTCTGCAACTTCCCCAAGTGGGTGAATTTTCACTTTAGTTTTAAATTTCAGACTTCTGCCACTGAACAAAAACATAATGAGAAGTGATGCAGACATGTGGCAATGCATGGCCCATCTGGCAGAAACAAAGATGGCAAAATCAGGGGTTTAATGACTTGCTTTGAAATTTTAGAAAAGATGACATATGTAAAAAGAACTATGGAACTAATGGGAATACTAAGTGCCCATTAGACAAATGATCTCCTTTTAAAATACTAGAATGAAGCAAGAGGTTCCTGAGAGTTGGGTGGGTTGCTTATTCTGACAGCCATCCCAATAAGGCTCACTCTACAAAGAGGCAGAGGGTAAGCATAGGAGGAAAGTACTATTTTTGGAGGAATTTAGGTTAAAGCTGATGGTGACTTTCTAGAGAAATAACAGTGAGGATGAGTTCATATGAAAAAAGATAGAATCACCTGAATATGGTTATTAATTGGCTAAGTGGGTGACAGAAGAGTCAAGGAAATTGCCATGGCTCTGTCTGTGAACTGACAGATGGTTACTATCTACACTGTACTGTTTACTGAGAAGGGAAAACAAAAAGATGAGACATTTTGGTGGTGTGGATCTTTGGTTCAGTTGTGTACATGAGCTTAAGTTGCCTGTGGCTCATTCACCTTTCATTGCTTCTATCTATAGTACAGGGATTACCTTAGGGATAGGATGGATTTTAAGGTTCTCATATACAAGAGGTATCAGTAGTATGATCATCCAGGGAAAGTGTGCATTGTGAGAATGGAAGAGGATATGGGAGAGAAGGCAGAACTGGAAGAACATTCATGACAAGTAGGTCAGATAAAGGAAAGAGAATGCGAAGGGTTTGCCAGAGAGGTAGTAGGAAAATGGGCATAGTATGGGGTTGTGAATGTTAAGGAAAGAGGAAAATAGAAACCTTTTCAAAAGTGAGGAGAACCAGTAAGTTTCACTGGATGCATCAAGAGCATCAGTGCAGTGTCTGTTTTTAGTGTAGAGGTCATGACTGACATCCAACAGCAAGGGGCTAAGGAATCCATGGGGATGAGAAAGAGAAGGCTGAACATGTAAGGAGTTTCTTTTAAAATAATTTGGCTAGAAGCAGATGAGAGAAAAAGAGTGGTAACTGGATGGGGACACAGGGTCAGTGGAAGATTTTTTTTCTGTGTTTTTTTAAAATTAATATTTTATTTTACATAATTCTTACATCATTTCTCATTTTTGCACAATGTATGCATTTTCATTTTGGTTATATTCCCCATAAAAGTGCACCCCCCACCCCCTTATTTTGACCCTAGTCCTTCCTCTCCCGCCCCCCCCCGCCGTAGTGTGTCTCTGGTTTATAGTTCCTTGTTGATTTTGATTTTTACTTTGTGTTAATTAGTCTTTTTCCTGGTCCCTTATTTAGGTTTTCTAAATTCCTGCTATGAGTGAGACCTGCATTCAAAAAAGATAAACACATGCAGTTTGCAGCAACATGGATGGAGCTAGAAGGGATCATGCTCAGCGAAATAAGTTAGAAAGAAAAAGAAAAATACCAGACGGTCTCACTCTTAGCAGTGGAAGATTTTTTATTTCATCTTATTTTGTTGTCCTATCCTCCATTTGTCAGTATAACAGGGTTCTAGATCTTTTTCTGGGCAGGCCCCCCTCTCTCTATGGACAGGAAATCCACAAGATGTACCAATTTTTTTCATGTTCACACCCACTGAGTGAAAGGCTTTTCTGGCACAATCTACTCAGAGCCCTTTTCTGGCCACAGGAACCACCTGTGTTTCAATTACCACTAGATGGAAGCAGATCAATTCAATATTTGAGCTGTCCTTGGGGAACAGGAAAAGATGCTGGCAGGAGGAGTATAGCATTAATCTAATGGCCATATTAAATAATTGCCACATTAACTTTAGAGTTTTACTGCTTTTAAAAAATAATAAATCCATCAATAGTTGCTTATTGAACACCTTTGTGTTGGAACAATGCTAAGCTTGACTGAGACCCCAGGAGAAGTAAGTCCTTGTCCTTAACCTCAGGAAGATTATTGTCTACTTGAGAAGTTGAGACAGAAATACAGAAAAAAAAATCAGAAAAACACAAGGCAGAATATGGTGATGGTCCATGAGTTCTGTACTGAAGAAAAAGGCTTTAATAAGGAAGTTTGGTGATTACAGGTCTCATAAAGGAGATGGAACCTGAGCTGGGTTTTGAAGGATGTGTAGGATTTAGTGTATGGGAGAAGGAACAGAGGCAGTATAGGGGGGAGATGACGTAAATGATATGGTAGTAGGACTACAAAAGCATGTTGGGCCCAGACAGAACTATCTGGAGCTCATGATATATTGAGTTGCTGTGAACAAAAGCTGATGGCATCAACGTAGGTCTGAAATGCCTCACCAAAACCTCTAGAAGGACCAGCAAAGAAGAATGATTCTCCCAGCTGTCTTGGTATACGTCCCATTTATTGACCAGGGTGACTTGAATTCATTGAATCATAGAATTTTAGCTCTATTAATATTTTTGTAGATATTGCATTCAAATGCTCTTGATAAACTAATCAAATAAATTTCCTATAGACCCTGAGCAAGTGACAGAGTTAGTTGCAATAACAAACATCAAATATTAATTTCATATTGCACAGTGGCCTTTGACATGTCTTTATTAATTATTGCCTATAAGCTTGTGGGTAGGTACTATTAATACCCCATGTTACAGGTAAAGAAACAAAGGCACAGAGAAATAAAATAGCTAATCTGAGGTCACTGAATAAATGGCAAAGCTGAAACTTGTACCCATCTGTATGCAAATATCATGCTCTTAACATTTATGCTCTAGAACTCGGGGCTCTGGACTCCCACGTTGCACTGTAATAACAGTAATAACAATTCATTCTCCCAGTAATAATTCATTCACACTGCAACCATGGTGTGAAGACACTGAAGAAGGGTTGGGTGCAACACATAGAATAAGCCACATGCAAAATGAACACTATCACACTGAATGCTGCATATCAGATTTTATTTTTCAAAGCAAAGTCCCATCATCCTTTGTGCTCATTCCTCTTACTTTTAGTTGAATAACTGACTCCCAGGCATAGATGGTTTCAATTCTTGCTGGGTTATTTAGACTCTTCTGCAAACTGGTTCTGTTTGTCACCTCATTTGGTTTCTAGTATCTAAATTCTACCTAGGTTAAAAACTGCACCAAAGATACACAGGAAGATAGGAAGCCAACCTCAGAGGAGTGTACATGTGAAACTTTTGTTTTCGGAAACATTTTTATCTTTGTCGTGGCAAGCACATTTGCAGCTGCTGAACTGTGGTTTGCCCTGGCAGTTCTTTTTGTGAGCAGAGGCTCTGAATCTAGTTCTCCATGTGAAAAGTGGTATTAAGGCATACCATATGTGCTTCCAAGAAGGAAACTGTTTTAACACACCAAACATGTCATTTATTTCACAAAATTAAATTTGTCGCTATCTCCTAAAATTATGTCCCACCAGAAAATCAAACTTTTAGAACCACTGCCAGATCCTTCATGAGTTTTTATTTTCTTCAATTTCTCTTAACATTTGAGTAAGACTTCTACTTTCTTGACCTCCATAGTTCAAAACATGTTCAAAATGTCCTTCAGGTTCATTAAATTTAAACATAAAGGCTATCGGCAGGCATTTCTCTAAGTGTGATCTGTGGGCCAGGAGCATATGGTGTACCAGGGAGCTGGTTAGAGATACAGAATCTCGGGACCTACCCAGGCCTCTCAACCCAGAGTCTGGGGCCTGCCTGGTGCCCTAGGGGTTAAATCTCAGTGCCATCAGGGCTATGGCCAGAGTTCAATCGCCGGCCAGCAAGCTACCCCTCATATGGCGCAGCAGACCTCTCCTATCTTGCCCACTACTCCCCTCAGCAGTGTATTTCAGTAGATCTGCCGACTCTGTTCCCCACTTTGTCTCTGGTGAATTCTCTCACCCCTGCACCTGTGGCCTACACTCCAGTTCTTCTACACAAAAAAAAAAAAAAAAAAACCAAAACCCACAAAACACAGGGCCTCCCCAATGGCGCAGTGGTTGAGTGCTGGGTTGCAAAGCTGCCCGCAGCCTCTGCAGTGCTGGTTCGATCCCTGGCCGCTGGTGAGGGTCCCACATGGTGCGCAGACCTCTCCTGCTGCCTGCTGCTCCCCTCAGCAGTGTACTTTCGTCAGCCTGCCTGTTCTGCTCTCCGCTCTGTCTCTGGTGAATTCTCTCACCCTCCCATGCTTCTGACTGTACCCAGCGCTTGTATAAATAAATAAATCAATCTTAAAAAAAAAAAAAAAACAACCAGGGGCCTCCCTGGTGGTGGCGCAAGGGGTTAAGCACCACATTATGAAGCAATCCACAGCCTCTGCAACACGAGTTCGATCCCCGGCCAGCCAGAGAGCAACCCAGATGGTGAAGCAGACCTCTCCTGTCTCATCCACTGCTCCCCTCAGCAATGTATTTCAGTCAATCTGCCTGTTCTGTTCCCCACTCTGTCTCTGGTGAATCCTCTCACCCCCTGCATCTCTGGCCTGTACCCCAGCTCTTGTACGCATAAATAAATCTTTAAAAAAATAACAAAAACAAAACAAAAACAAACAAACAAAACCCCACAGAGTCTGCGTTAACCACCATCTCTGGGGATTGGAGGATGAGCATGTGGAAGCATAAGAAATGCTCCTTTAAGGTTCTCTCAATTTCATTGCCTTAGTGAATGTTCTGGATTTTGTCCAACCCATCTGAAAGGTGTTTTCTTTATTCCTCTTCTCACCTTTAGTGAATATTTACCCTTACTACCAACACTTTAATTTTTGCCGTTTTAAATCTCCTTAGCTTAATTTGTATTCTCTTGTTCTTCACCAGCATGGAAGACCCATATTAATCCACCCTGTGTGAAAGAAAATTCTTGGGATACTGAAGTGTCAATGAATCAATCCTTCAATCCAGAAAAGTTTCTCATGGTGATGTCTCCATCGTTGAAGATGATGTATGTTTCTTTCTGCGCCTGTGAAAAATTTCTATGTGACCAGCAACTCATCCTGCTCCCATGTTGCTCTCCCAGCCTTCCCAGTTGTGGTTTATATAGCTCAGCCTTCTATTCAATTTTCCATGGAGAAACAAGATTACAGGAGACAAGGGAGGGAAAGGATTACTGTGAAATACAAAAATGTCTGATTTTGCTCTTTCTTGACTCTTGTTTCCAGTTTCAATTCAATTCAGTGCTGTACCTGATGGCATACACTTCTGAACACGAATGACCTCTAATACATATGCAACTACACATTCGATTTTGTTGCAGATAATATTCTACCCACCTCGCATTCCAGTATGCTAGGGGGGGTGCACTCTTAGAAAAAGTTTGTAAAATCTATGTTATCTTTGTTTTCCAGTGCCAGCAAAGTAATGGGGTTTCTGCTCATGTTGGGTTATTCCCACTTGCACTGTAGTCCCTCTTGCTATAAGGCCATCCTATTTAATAATCTCTAGTCTCCCCACCTTCTTCATCCAACTTTGCTTCTCAATTGACTCATTTCCACACAGAACACCTTGTGAGGCTCACACAAAAGGAGATGAGAGACAGCTACCAGCACTATTTCAGTTTTAGATTTTGCTCTCTTTTTTCATTAGTTCCACTTAGATTTTTTTGTATTTGATGCTTTTTATTTTAATGACTGCTATATTGTTAATAAAGAAACAGCATCTCTGGAATGCTAGCTCCAGAAAACATCTCTTTGGTATTATATAAGAGAATTAAAACATGAAGAGATTCCTTAGCTATTGATGAAATGCTCTCCCTTCTCTGCCCCCAATATAACTTTCATGTATGAGCTAGCTGTATGCTATGGGCATAAATTTTGGTAAAGATTACATTTCCTTTCTCAAAACCACTCAGCTTCTGTATTACAACAGGGCTATTACAAAATACTCTCCATACTCTGATCACTATAAATCTATGAGATGCCATTCATATTCATGTCATTTATCACACATCCCTTAGAGTTGTGCATTGCACAACCTGCAGAGATGTCCACAGGCAACCCAGATTGCAACAGTTTATTCAACTAAGACACAGTAACAAAGAACCAATAGGGAGTTCACTTCTTGGGAACAATGTGTCTAGATTTGAAAACACAGTCCTATATTCAAGCCCTAGGGCTACCACACCATCTGAAGAATCATGTCATGCTCTATCGCTTAAATAAAGACTTGTAAGATTAATTTCTCCAAAGACCTGTGTTTAACTCCCCTGAAACTTATTTTCCTTGTCTATAAAATAAAAATGAAATACATCTTGTTTACAAGGTTATTGCAATGATTGAATCAGATATGAACATGCTTTGTGAACTGAACCTCAAATATAAGATTTCTTTTTTACCGGTATCTTGCTTTTCATGTTTCTTGGTATAGGATTCTATAACTCATGCAAGGACTTGAGCAGAAGGGTTGAGTCATTCTCCTGAGATTAGAAACCAAGGACTCCTTCAATTGTATTCATATTGAAACCTGGTGCTCAGATTTTCTGCACAGAAGATCACTTCTGCCATCTGCACCCTTGATGGGGTGATGTGGAAAGACATGGGCTGAGGCATCAGTCTCACCATTTGGAATCCTGTCTCTACCTCTATGGTTTGTTCATATATATATGTTCATTAGGTTATAATAAACCTAATAAACCTGTTCTTTAAATATATATTAAAAGAACAGGTTTATAAGGGAAAGAGACAGAGGAATAAAGGAAACTTGCATAGATGCAAGCAGGCAGGAAGAGCTGCCCCGAAAGGTACAGATTGCTAAGAGAGGTCTGAATGGTTGCAGGCAGTTGGCCTTGAGGAAAGCTGCCTCTGCTGAGGAAGGTCAGTGAAGTCCCAGCATGGTACAGGTCACAGGGAGGAGGAAGCTGTTGCCCTGCAGAGGGAGAGAGTTGGTGAAAGAGGCACCTGCATAGTCACAGGTGGGCAGAGGGATTGCTGCCTCTACCTCTATGGTTTGATGCTATGTCATTAATGTCTCTGAATTTCAGATTGATTTATAAAATGGGGCTATTATCATCTTTCCTACACTGTTGTGCTCCAGATTAAGTAAAATAAGTCCCTTTTCCCATAACCCAGAATACCAGCTTCATGAAATCAAGAGTCCAAGGACATGGTATTATCCATTCCTCTGGATTTGTTCATCAGAGTTCAGTAGCCCTAGATTATATTATTTTAGTTTCTTGCAGAAATAGTTAATCAAATTAAGATTTAATTGTATGGGAGGTCTCCCTGGTGGCTCAAGGGGTTAAGACGCAACCTATGAAGCTCGCCGCAGCCACTGCAGCATGACTTCGATCCCCGGGCTGGGAGCTACCTACATGGTGCAGCAGACCTCTCTTGACTTGCCTGCTGCTCCCCCCAGCAGTGTATTTTGGTCAATCTGCCTGTTCAGTTCCCCACTCTGTCTCTGGTGAATCCTCTCACCCCCTGCAACTCTGGCCTGTACCCCAGTTATTGTATGCATAAATAAAATAAATCTTTTTTTTTTGTGGGACCCTCGCAGGCGGCTGGGGAACGAACCCGCGCTGCAGAGGCTGTGGGCAGCCTCACAGCCCAGCGCTCAACTGCTGCGCCACCAGGGGAGGCTCAAATAAATAAATCCTTTAAAAAAGATTTAATTGTATGGCTTTAGCTCTGATAATAAAAATCTGTCACCTGAGTGGCATACACATTCCATGTGTGGCCCTCCCTTTCACCCCTTGGCCTACCTAAGACTGCTCTGTTCTTTGACACCTGTCTGAAATAGACCAAGCCCCCAAATGCTTCAATGAACAATAGATGAGACAAGAAAGAAGCTCATATTAAAAACATACTGTGGAGAAATAATAAAGTTCTTTTTTAGGTATTGATACACTTTGCCATCGAGTTCCTATTCTCTGCTGGCTGCCTTTTCATTTCCCCCTTTCTCTAAAGTTCTTCTAAAATTCCCCCTCTTGACTTGAGAAATTTGATTTTTCTTTTTGCTTGTAAATTCCATTCAGGAAAGAAAAAAACTGTAATCTCCAAAACAACCTATAACTCATAAGAAAGAACGAGGAAATTATTAAGAAAAATAATGAGGTTTTCACTTCCCTTTGGCTTTGGCAGTCTTGTCAAACCTACTGAGCTCCTGGCATTACATGAGATAATAAGCTTAAAAGATAATAAACTTAAAAGTCCCTGAGTGCCTCTGTAAAGTTTAAATACAACTAAGCTTTAATTAGCCTCTTTTTGAAAAAAAAAAAAAAAGATTTATTCATTTATTTATACAAGCACGGAGTACAGTCAGAAGCACAGGAGGGTGAGAGAATTCACCAGAGCCAGAGCAGGGAACAGAACAAACAGACTGATGAAGTACACTGCTGAGGGGAGCAGCAGGCGTGGCAGGAGAGGTCTGCATGTCATGTGGGACCCTCGGTGGTGGCTGGGGATCGAATGGTGCTTCACAGCCCAGCGCTCAACCGCTGCACCACCAGGGGAGGCCCAATTTTTTTACATTTTTTTAGACAATATTTGCTTTCCCCCAACCCCTCAGAATGAGTCCCCATAGAACTTCCTTCCCCAAGGCACCCATGCACCATCAGAATTAATAGTTTTAATAGTAGTAGTTGTCATGGTAATGATAAGAGTAGGGCAGTAGAGCATTTTGTTTGTTTGTTTGTTTGTTTATTATCTTAAACATATCTTAGTTGGCATCCAATTATCTAACGTGGCATCGAAATTAAATTGGAAGGGCCTCCCTGGTGGTGCAGACAGTTGAGCGCAGCACTGTGAAGCTGTCTGCAGCCTCTGCAGTGCGGGTTTGATTCCCAGCCGGCCAGGGAGATACCCACATGGCGTGGCAGACCTCTCCTGTCTTGCCCGCTGCTCCCCTCAGCAGTGTATTTCATCAGTCTGTCTGTTCTGTTCCCTGCTCTGTCTCTGGTGAATTCTCTTGCCCTCCCACACATCTGGTCTGTATGCCGGTTCTTGTATGCATGAATAAATAAATCTTTAAAAAAAATAAATTGGAAGAAACCTATCTTTTCCTTTAATTAAACTTTATAACATTCTATAGGTGTCAGGTGTACAGGCTAATTCATCAGCATCTTTACATAAAACATTATGTTCCCTACTGAAAGTCTAGTTTTCGTCCTTCACCATAAAATTGATCCCTTTTACCCAATTCACCTATCTTCCCTTCCCCCCATCCCCCTTCAATTTTGTCAACCACTATTTTGTTCTTATAATCTAAGAGTTTGTTTTCATTTTGTTTTTTTCATTTGCTAAAACTACCTTTCCTTGATAAGCTTCTAAAGCAGCAAGTGAGAGTCTTATGGGTTGGCAGAAACTCAATGGTAATAAGCAGCAGGGGTCCTCTGTTTAAGGAAATTCAGGGAAGTTATTTTTCCTTGCTCCCTTGAGGCGGGGTGGGAGGGGTAGTTGGGGGGGGGCAGGTGGAAGAGGAAAAGCAATGGAGATAGAGAAGAGTTGGGAAAATTGTGGGAAAATGAAGAACTTTTAGAAATCAGTCTGATTTCTGAGGACTAATACAGATATTAAATGGTGTGTTCCCCTTGGTGTTGCATAAACCTTTTATAAATATTGTACTGCAAATGCAGACCTTTTTAGGTGACTTGGGAGAAGTTTAAGGTGAAGGGGCTTCTTCCTTAGTTTGGGAAAATAGCAGATATGGAGGAATAGTCACAAAAAAGTAAAGTTGGAACAAAATATTTTGGCAGAAACAATATATCTAGATGAAAATTAGGTTTAAGGTGATAATGGGAATTAAGCTCTCTGGGGATGTTAATAACGTAGAGAGGGTCTTGGGATTCCACAATTATCAGCATTTTAAGACCACTGTATCTGGATTTTAAGGAGGTGAATTCCTCCCTGACATCTGGGTTACACTCCTCATAGTATTTGATCTTTGGCCACAACAATTATTTCAGTTTCAAATTTCAGAAAACTAAGGCTCAGAGATAATAAATAGCTCATCTCAGTACAAATAGGTAGTACATGCCTGCTTAATGGGTAAGAAAATATGGTATAAAAAGAAAGAGAAAAGGGGAAAACAATTACTTAAAGTAGATTTGATTTCCAAACTAATGCTGGACTTCTTGACCAGGCCAAAAGGATGTGACTATTTCCCAAGCTATATCAAACTGACCCTTGAAAGGGACCTGGGGAGAACAGGTTGTGTCTCTTGTTCTCATCACATTCAGAAATGACTCCTATATCTGGAGAACAAAGGATATTCAAAATGCTCATTGAGTGACAAATCATGGGGGAATGTTTAGTAATACAAAGTCCTAAGGTGAGACATTATGCTTTTCAATGAGCCAATTAAACATTTACTAAAAGTTACTATATTTGCAAGAAATATTCCAGAGGTGGTAGACACACAGGAGCAGAGTCCTGTGCCAAAGGGCTGGCATGTGGAAGTGGAAGCTTTAAATCCCAGACAAAAGCTTGTGAAGTTTATACTCTAGTTTCTGGGAAAATCTGAGCAAGACAGGGACAAGATTACCATAACATTCTGGGAAGATGAACACGTTTGAGGGTTTAAGAGTGGAGAGAAACGGATGCAGGGACACTAGCAGTAAATGCAATTATTGAGGCCCGGTGGTTAGGGTGGGGCCAGGAGGATTCTAACATGAAATACTGAACACTTTGGCCTCTGACC